TTCTAACGACTATGGCTGTATTCCCGAACGATTATCTCGCAAATTTAATTTTTCGAAAATTTTTCCAAAATCTTTTTGAGTGTAGCTCAGCATCCGCTGGACCAATCAAAAAGTGCCCCATACATTTTTTGTTCGAAACTTTTTCCCTATTTTATTGGCGGTATTCCGGAGCAGTTATCTCGCAAATTTAATTTTTCGAACATTTTTCCAAAATCTTTCTGAATGTAGCTCAGCATCCGCTGGACCAATCAAAAAGTGCGCCATACATTTTTTGTTCAGAACTTTCTTCTAACCACTATGGCTGTATTCCCGAACGATTATCTAGCAAATTTAATTTTTCGAAAATTTTTCCAAAATCTTTTTGAGTGTAGCTCAGCATCCGCTGGACCAATCAAAATGTGCGCCATACATTTTTTGTTCAGAACTTTCTTCTAACCACTATGGCTGTATTCCCGAACGATTATCTAGCAAATTTAATTTTTCGAAAATTTTTCCAAAATCTTTTTGAGTGTAGCTCAGCATCCGCTGGACCAATCAAAAAGTGCGCCATACATTTTTTGTTCGAAACTTTTTCCCTATTTTATTGTCGGTATTCCGGAGCAGTTATCTCGCAAATTTAATTTTTCGAAAATTTTTCCAAAATCTTTTTGAGTGTAGCTCAGCATCCTCTGGACCAATCATAAAGTGCGCCATACATTTTTTGTTCGAAACTTTTTCCCTATTTTATTGTCGGTATTCCGGAGCAGTTATCTCGCAAATTTAATTTTTCAAAAATTTTTCCAAAATCTTTTTGAGTGTAGCTCAGCATCCTCTGGACCATTCAAAAAGTGCGCCATACATTTTTTGTTCGAGACTCCCGGGTTAAGACTTTTGCGGTATTCCCGACCAATTATCTCGGAAATTTAATTTTTTAAAATTTTTTCCAAATTTGTTTTTTACTGTAGCTCAGCATCCGCTGGACCGTATCGTATTCCTTACGTCAAGACAAATCGATCGATATATATAAAGTATACATTTGAGCCGCCGGAAAGTAAAAGGGCGCATAAAATTTGTACGGCCGTTCGAGTTGGCCCCTGACGCTTGAAAAATCGATTTAAAAAAAAAAATTTTTTTTTATTACTACATTACTGGAAATTTTATTCCGCATCTTTTTTCTTCTATGAAAAAAATCTCTATCTTTTTCGGTTTTCGAGTAAATCGAAAAAAACTGGATTTTTAAAAAACACAAATTTAATTAAATTTTTCACTTCAACTCGCTCTAAAAAACAAAGTTATAAATATTTTTTGACAAAATTTACAGAAATATTAGTTTAAACTATTCTTAAGACGACAAACTTTGTATGAATGTGATTTTTTTATTTCGAAAAAAGTTATGAATTTTTTTGTTTCACAGTGACAAATTTACGTTTCCAAATTTTCAAGGGCTTCGTTTATCTGAAAAATTTTCAGTCAGTGAAAACTTATCCCGAAAAAAATGTTCACTAGGGTCTTACAAACATTTTTGTAAAATATTTTTGCAATTGGAATAGCCGTTTACGAAATATTATTGAAAAACTATTTTTCGTCAAACGCGCGCGAGTAAACATAAACGACCTTGGCAGCCATCGCTGAGTACTAGCCGGCTCTACACAAACGGGAAGTTTTTGACTCGCGCGCGTTTGACGAAAAATAGTTTTTCAATAATATTTCGTAAACGGCTATTCCAATTGCAAAAATATTTTACAAAAATGTTTGTAAGACCCTAGTGAACATTTTTTTCGGGATAAGTTTTCACTGACTGAAAATTTTTCAGATAAACGAAGCCCTTGAAAATTTGGAAACGTAAATTTGTCACTGTGAAACAAAAAAATTCATAACTTTTTTCGAAATAAAAAAATCACATTCATACAAAGTTTGTCGTCTTAAGAATAGTTTAAACTATAATTTCTGTAAATTTTGTCAAAAAATATTTATAACTTTGTTTTTTAGAGCGAGTTGAAGTGAAAAATTTAATTAAATTTGTGTTTTTTAAAAATCCAGTTTTTTTCGATTTACTCGAAAACCGAAAAAGATAGAGATTTTTTTCATAGAAGAAAAAAGATGCGGAATAAAATTTCCAGTAATGTAGTAATAAAAAAAAATTTTTTTTTTTAAATCGATTTTTCAAGCGTCAGGGGCCAACTCGAACGGCCGTACAAATTTTATGCGCCCTTTTACTTTCCGGCGGCTCATTTGAGGTAAATTTAAAGAATTAATGAAAGTTAACAAATCAGAAATTCACATTTTAGCAATAAAACTTTGCTTTCTCCACGAGGAAGCAAATTTTTTTGCTGATCGTAAAGAGGAAGCAAAATGTTCATGTAATGAACATCTGAATTTACAACTTGTTTGGTAAGTTTTTTATGCTTTTGCATGCGTTTTGGTCATAAAAAGTGTCTTCCCCTACTCGGATCAGGGTGTCAATTTTTTTCTACACTTTTCGGTGTATTTTGTGCAAGAATATGCAATAAACTCGTCTGCCTAAGAAAAATTGAATTTTTTTGGTAAATTTTTATGCTTTTGGATGCGTTTTTCGTCATAAAAAGGGTCTTCCTCTACTCGGATCAGGGTGTCAATTTTTTTCTACACTTTTCGGTGTATTTTGTGCAAGAATATGCAATAAATACGTCTGCCTAAGAAGAATTGAATTTTTTTGTCGCTTTTTCTATAACAAAAAGTGCTTGAAAGGTGGTAATGAGTGTCTTCCTCTACTCGTCTCAATCTGTTAATTTTTTTCTACACTTTTGGGTGTATTTAGTACAAAAAATTGCAATGAAATCGTTTGCCTAAGATGAATTGAATTTTTTTGTTGATTTTTCTATGACGAAAAGTGCTTTAAAGTTGGTAATAGGGGTCTTCCTCTACTCGTATCGTAGATGTTTAATAAAGCATATTTAAAAAAAAAAAAAAAAAAGATTATAAATTATATATTATTTTTCATTAATTTTTAGAAATTTCAGCTAAAATATAAATTTTTTATTTTTTAACATCCTTTAATTCTTTAAATTTAACTCAAATCTATGGGTACTCAAATGTTTATATTATTATTTTATTATTTTTGTATGTTTATTTTAATGTTAACGCTTTCTCTACGAGGAAGCAAATTTTTTTGCTGATCGTAAAGAGGAAGCAAAATATTCATGTAATGAACATCTGAATTTACAACTTTTTTGCATTTTTGACAGTTTTAAAATGTTAATTCGTTAATTTTGACCCTAAATCCTTTATCAGCGACCGAAAATACATCTAGAATGACTATGGAGGAAATTTTAAAGCACTTAATTTTTGCACAGGTGCTTGAACAGAAAAAATCCTTTGTACTTTATTATTATTATTTCGAAAAGAAACTAGGTGTTCATTATATGACCATTTAACTTCCTCATGATACACTTATATTTAAGATTAAAAGAAGGATTACAACTAAAATAACGATCAATTTTATAATTATTGGTAAAAAGTAAACTTTATATACCTATATATCAATCGATTCGTTTTCATGCCAGGAATACAATTTTGACAAGAATTAATTAAAATTTTTATATCAGAAAAAGTTATTTCAAAAAATATAAAAAACGATTATATTCAAAAATTCAAAAAAAAATGATTTAATCTATAGATTTCTGTAAAATATGAACTTTATATAGGCTAATCGACTCGTTTTAATGCAAGAAATAAGTTTTTTTACTAAACAAAATTAAATTTACAAAGAAAAATATATTTTGAAAAAAATTTTTTTTTGTAATTTTGAAAAAATTGTAAAAAATAAAATGTTGTGAATATATTTATTCATATATATTAATTCTAGATAAAAATGAGTCAATTTAACCCAATTTTAAAACATCGAAAATCGTCACGAATACAAAGCTTCTTCATGAGCAAGCAAAATAAGGAGTGAAGGGGAAATAAAAACAATAGAGTCGAATGGGTGTCTACTTATAATAAACCATTTATGACTCGTTTATTGTTTTAGTTACTCGGGGGTTTTGGGGGTCACTGATTACGAATCCGATGTTAGTTTTCAAGAATTCAAAATGGCGGATCCAATATGGCGGAAAAAAATTCAAAAAATCAACAGCCCACATAGCACGACTTCTTGCTGTGAGGTTACTGTAAGGATATAAAAAATATTTAGCTTTCTAAAAATGTATGGGCATCTCGATGCAGGTGTTATAGCAATAAGCGACTCTAAAAATCCTTAGACATGAATCTTTAAAAAAAATCAACAACTTTCTCAAAATTATATCAAAATTTATTAAGGATATTTCATGTTTTTTAAGATTTAATAAATGTTCATCTTTATTTCAATCTAGTCATAATAAATATAAATTACAATATTAGAATAATAAAACTAAGTCTTTAATCCTAATGTATATGAGGTATTCCCATGTAAAGTGTTGTGTTCATGAAAATTAGAAAATAACTAATTCCATCTTCATTTTAATCAATAGAATCTATGGAAACTTTAATTATTTTTTTCTCCCTACAATGTTAAAACCATTTAAACCTCTCATTATTATAATTGCAGATACTTGTCTACTATTTAAGAAATGTAGAAAGAGCAATTATTATAATTACAGGTACGTCTAACAGTTCTTAGGAAACACTTTGCTTTAATATAAATATTTAAATACTATGATTATTGATTCTTATATACAAAGAGTTTGAGCGCGTACAAGAAGGACTATAGAACATACTCCTTTTTGTCAATATTGTGTATGCATCGAAGAAATGGATATAGTAAAGAAACGATATTACAATATTGCCAAATATATTATAATTTTAACAGGTTTAAGTCGACATCATCCATTGTGGTTCAATTTCTTGTCAAAATCATTCAATTTTTTTATTCTCTTTTCTTTTATGGGTGTTCAGGTAATATTATATTTTGATACAGTTTTGTTTAAGCTTTTTTAATAAAAGGATTAATAAAATTAGATTGCAGGAATGATAAAAGCATTGGATAATATTGACATGGTATTGGCCACCAACATGTTATTCTTTTATGGGTGCAATTCTTTATATAAATAGCCAGCTGCAAGTAAAACAAGTAATCAGTTTAAATTTTTTTTCTATTGTTTTCTCGAAGGAAATTTTATTGCAAACCCTAATATACATATAATTGTGATTTTGGTGATAAAAATTTATAATTGTCTACAAATCGCAATGTAAAATTTACAATTTTTTTGTAGATAAATTTTGTTTATTTGAAAATGCAAAATGACTGGAATACATTAACATCAGAACATGAAGTTAATATTCTGCATAAATATGGCAGAAAATGCAGAAATTACACTATAATATACATTGGTAGATAGTTTTTTAATAATAAATATTATTATTTTTTTTTAATTAACATCCTTATATTCAGTTGGAGTATTTGGACATCTTATGCTCTATCATTTGGTACATGGGGTTCCTCAGCTGATTAACTTTTACAAAAATATTGATAAACCTATGCAGCTTGTTTTTCTTCTTGAGTGTGGTATAGATTTACAAAAATACTACTTATGGATAACAATTTACAGTTATGTAGTTGGTTACGTTTGTAGTTTTGGAATTGTAAATGGAGGTACAATTCTTTTAATGTTTCTTGAGCATGCTTGTGGAATATTTGACATTATAGGGTAAACATAATTAATTCTAAATTAATTAATTTTAATTTTTACAAAATGAAATATTCTTTTTAAAAACTATATACAAATCGCATTTAGGTTACAGTTTATCAAATTTATACAATCGAACGAAATTATCAGACAGGATAATTTGCAGAATGGCTTTTTAAGGGTCGCTCGCATATCACGTGATACATATTTTGGGTATTTTGAACCCCCCACCCCCCTTGCGTGATACTTTTTCTATTGTTAAAAAATTAATTTTTCATGGACCGTGATAATTTGCCTATACCCCCCTCCCATTCCCCTAAAGATATCACGTGATATGTGAATGACCCCTTATATATTTATTGATTTGTCATCTGGATGTGATTTGTTTAATCTCAATACTTTTCTATTAAAGCCATGTAAAAATAAACGTATATGAAAACTATGAAGCCTTTCTAGCAGAATACTACTATACTTATTTTAGACGGGCTCTGACATTAGTTTTTGGTACAACGAACACTAATAGCATGGCTCCTTATTTTAGTATAGAACGCAGTGATTTGTCGTACCAAAAACTGACGACAGAGAGCGTATAAAATCCATTTACTATGGTAGTTTTCTGCTAGAAAGGCTTAATATTTTTCTCCGTATAAACAATAGAAAACGGATATAAAAATTATTAATCATTAAACTTTTTAAAACCTGAAGATAAAAAGAATATTATTTTATCATCAGTATTTAAAAAAAGTTGTACATTATAAATTTAATTTTTTCAGACATCTATTGACTACTGCTATAAATGAAAATTCTGTCTTTAGTAATAAAGTTAATTTTCGAAAACAACTCCATCGAAAGATTAAACTTTGTGTGGAAATGCACAGAAGTGTTATATTGTTTGTATAATAAAAGTTTTACTTAAAATTAATATTTTAGAATGTAGAACAAGAAAGTTGCTTAAAGCTAAAAATTCAACAATACCAAACTTTATATTAATTAAAATATTTTGCTTTTCAAGATTTATCAATGATGTTCAAACATGTTTTTCTACTTCTTATCTTTTTGTATTTGGACTAAGTGTAATTATGTTAAGCATCACTGGAGTCCAAGTAAGTTTACTATTATATATATTAATGAAGTTTTTTACGTCTAAATAATATAATTTTTTAAAAAGAATGCTAAACAAGACTTTAACCTGATATTATAAAATTTAGTCTGTGATGTGCTTACCGGATAATCCCAAGGATGCCATAAGGTTCGGATGTTTCACAATTGCTCAAATATTACATATTTACTTTTTAACTCTCCCAACGCAGCATTTACTGGATAACAGCTTAATTCTTTCCACCTGCATGTATAAATAATTTTTTTAATCATTTTAATATTTCTTTTTAGTAAAAAAAAAATAGGCATAACAAGATCAAAAAATTAATTTATTCTTTACTGTAACTAGGATTCTAACTTTAGTGTTATATAAAATTACGATATATTTAAATTAAACTAATAATGGTTGTAACCTAAGAAACAGATTTAATAAAGCTACAAATTCTTTTATTATAGATATGATACAGATTGGTACCATTTGTCAACTGAAACAAAAAAATTATTACTCCTAATAATGAGAAAAGGATCTGAACCTACTACATTTGTTGTTGGCAAAATATTCATACTTTCATTGCAATTTTTTACAAAGGTATGAAAATTTAAAAACAAAAATTGAGGGCGTTTTATTAAAAATTGTTTTTTTTTTAATTTATTAAAAAATTCTTTAAAGATTCTTCAAACGTCAATGTCATATTTTACTGTACTGATGTCTATGCGAGGATGAGTAGAAAGTTCCACTGCGTCATTTTATAATAAGATAGTGATTGGTGAAATTTGATATTTTAAAATCAAAAAAATCTTTTTGTAGTACGATTTATATCGAGTTACGATTTGTTTTAAAGTAAATAAAAACTATCGAAACAATATATACAGCGTTCTTTCTTTGAAAAATAGAATTGGTTGCAACTTGTGTGTTTTTCAATATTTAAAGAATATAAATATATAAATATGAACTTGAAACGATCGTAAACAATTTGCTTGAAATTCTGAATACGTTCAAATGAACAAACAATTTATTTACTACTTTTTTAATTTCAAAATTTATTATAAAATTTTGCTTATTTTTTTATTCAAAAATACATTAATAATTAAATATTTACCAAACTTTTTTATTTTTCATTGTCTCTGAGTAATTTCTTTAAAAAATTTCTAGAATAAAAAAAAATTCAATTCCATTCACAATTCCATATACACAATAATTTCGGTACTTTAAACAAATACAAATAAATGTATATTTTATATAATATTTGAAGAAATTATTTGAATAATAAAATAAAGAGTAAAATGTTAATATAAAAAAATAAGAATTAAAAAGTTAGTATAATAATTTATTATTATTAATAGTTAATGCTATGAGCTCGTGCGGTTCGAGCGAAGAGTCGGTTCTTCGATCCAGCTGCTCAATTAATGTAAAAAGCAAAAAGAACCCTAAATTTTGAATATCAACCAGTGCTGGCTTATTACTGGTTACTATATAATTTTGCCCGTACTTTGCAAAATACAGAATTAATGCTAGATTCCAGTATTGAATTCACAGTTTTCCTAAAAGTATCAAATTGAGACCAAAAATTGCATCAAATCTTTGCAACGTTTTGATGCACATAAGTTATATCAAAAAGAGATCGTTTTGTGTATCATTTTTAGAAATTATACACGAAACGGTCTCATTTTTTGATGCAAAAAATTTAATCAATTTATATCAATCATGGCCGAATTGAATAGACTCAAAATTAAACGAATTTTTTTCAGATATTTTGGTAATAGTACAATTGCGGAGACCATTTCACTATTTAATTTGAAAATGAAAATAACAGAAAATCAAAGACAATGTGCAATTCGATAATTAAAAAGTGACAGCTTATAAACATAACCTAAAATGCATGAGAAAAAATTTGTCGATAAAATCAATATAGCCGAGCTTTTTAGAAGGTAGATGGCAGCACTCATCTATTTTCTTTCTTTAAATTTTTTCTGAATCGTTTTTATAAAAAGCAAAACTGCCATCTACCTTCTAAAAAGCTCGGCTATATTGATTTTATCGACAAATTTTTTCTCATACATTTTAGGTTATGTTTATAAGCTGTCACTTGTTAATTATCGAATTGCACATTGTCTTTGATTTTCTGTTATTTTCATTTTCAAATTAAATAGTGAAATGGTCTCCGCAATTGTACTATTACCAAAATATCTGAAAAAAATTCGTTTAATTTTGAGTCGATTCAATTCGGCCATGATTGATATAAATTGATTAAATTTTTTGCATCAAAAAATGAGACCGTTTCGTGTATCATTTCTAAAAATGATACACAAAACGATCTCTTTTTGATATAACTTATGTGCATCAAAACGTTGCAATAGAAAAAGATACAACCAAGTTTACTGGTTAACCAGTACTGAACGCCAGTACTGAGCCATTACTAATGACCAGTACTAATAAACGTTATCATCCCAAACATATATGCCAGTATTGGTTCAATATTGGCGATCAGTACTTTGCCAGTAATTGCCAGTACTGGCGCAACACTGCGCCGGTTGTAAATTTTCGCTTGTGAAATATAAAAAATTTTCGATTCGAATTCGAACTGTAGCTGATTTGAAATCTTCGAATAGTTCGAATTCGAACTCGAACTATTCGCACATCTCTATAAAATCCTTTATATCCCTCATTTTTTATCTATCTTTTCAAATTTAATAAATTAAAAAACATAATTTAGGGTAATCGCAATTAAATTAGAGTAATTTTACTGGTTTCACATTGTTAACATATCACAATACTGATGATCAATGATTTTATTAATTGAACTATATACAACATAGTAATAAATATAATAAATACATAAATAATAAATAAGCTTTGTTTTTTCAAATCATCAGCACAAATTCAACAGACGAGTTGGTCATTTTATTTGAATTCTCAACCGATGAAAACTCATTTTGGTACGAATTGAATTGAATATACAAAGGGTTTCACTAAATCTTACTTAGTTTCAATTACGAATTGGACCTTGCCAAAAAAAGTTAATTCATTTCAATTCATTTGGATTCCTTACTACTTTTGCCTTAACTTGTAAGCAAACTAATTGTTCATTATTACTGTCGGAAAGTTCAAACGTAACAGTAGCTTTCTTTACTAAATAAGTCGTTGGAGGTATTGCCTTTTCTAAAGCTACTGTAACTGTATCTCCTATCTTTAAAGGGCATTTGCCTTTTTGTAAAGAATCACAAACATTTTCTGTTCCAATGTTTAGGTAATATTTCTTTTTACTTCTACCAACGTTTACATACATTTTTGGCTTTAATTTATCCGTTGCTGTAGCTAAAAAATAAATAATATATAATGTTAATATATATAAAATAAAAATACAATTTGTTCTTTAAAATTTTCTTATTCAAGAAGTTAAAGTTTTTTTTTTATTTAAAATTTTCAAATTTTTATTTTATGGTATTAAAATTGCTTACTTGCGACAAAATCCATTTCCAGTTTCAATGAGGTGCCTCTTGTTAATATACAAGGAGAGGAATCACATCCGGCAATTCTGACATCAGTAGGAGCTGTTATATTTCCTTTACAGCTTTTAAAGATTTTCGATTCAACAATTGCAATGCAGGAAACAACAGCTAAGACTACAAAAATAATGTATAATATAATTAATTCAACATTACAGTACACGCTGTATTCTATGGAAACAGAAAAATCAAATTTTTTTTTTTATTTCAATTTTTGTGTTTTTAGATACGAATTTAAAAAAAATGATTTTTCTGATTATATAAACTAATTAAATTCAAATATTGCTCACAAAATTACTGAAGAAAAAAAAATAATTCTTATATAGGGAATTTTCAATAAAATTGGAGACAGCTTTCGAATTTAAGGCAGAAGGAATTCTATAGAACATTCGGAAAACTGTAGACCTTCAAAACAATCTGGCATTTTTTTTTTAAGTTTTCTGTGTCAAATTTTAAAAATCTAACGATAATTTTAAAGTTAATCGAAAATTTTGAAAAAATATAAATGATTATGGAAAATTTCGGTTAACTTTAAAATTGTCGTTAGATTTTTAAAATTCGACACTGAAAACTTAAAAAAAAAATGCCAGATTGTTTTGAAGGTCTACAGTTTTCCGAATGTTCTAGGTTTCCTCTGCCTTAAATTTGAAAGTTGCCAGGTTCCAATTTTACTGAAATTTTTAAATTTTTAAATTCGTAGCTAAAAACACAAAAATTGAAATAAAAAACAGCTTTTTCTTTTTGGAAAATGTTCAGTGAGGTATATATAGGTATCTCGAACAAATTGCAATAAAAATCGGCGAAAGGAACCAACTTTTGAGGGTTTGAAATTGTTTCCAGGGTACATAGTAGATTTTTTTTTGTTGCAATGTATGATAAATGTAAAATAATTATGAATAAATCTATAGATATTAAACAATATTTACTTACCTATTAAAAGTCGAGTCATCGTGAAAATAAGAAATAATATTAATATAAAATAACAATAGCTCAACTTAGTGTTTTTTTGTACAACTTAGTAGTACAATTCAGTAATAATTTTAGATATCGAGTCTTCTTATTTATAGTGCAGTACAGTATTAAATACACCTGTGTTATTAGTTTTCATTGCCAAATAATAATAGTACAAACTATTTCTTAATTAAAATTAACATAACAATGCGTAGTATAATTTACGGTGTCGATTGTAAACAAAATTATATTAAAATTAATTAAAATCAAAGGTAAAATTTAACATATATTGCACAGAGAAATTAAAGTTAACATATTATTAAATTTAAAAATTAATTAATTATAAAAGTTTAATATCTTCGGTATCACATACCTATTTCATATAAATAATATTTTTTGATGAAATATATAGTGTGAGTGCACCAATTACAGCGCGTTCATAAAAAATAACTTTTATTACCATTATATTTAATATATTACTTCTGCAAAATGATTAAAAAATTATTTGAGATCAAATTTTTTCTCTCGCCGTAATTAAAACATTTTTAAGATTTCCATTTGCTCCAATTAGCGGTGGGCAAAGTATCTTCAAAATACACATAATTTTGGTCACCGTAATTGATACACCGAAATAGAAAATTACGGTATTAGTTTTAATTTTTCATTTCCAATAACATGGAATATTCCATTGAAATATTCGGAATATTTCATCCATATTCCAGTAATATTAAAATGTCCGACCTTCGGAATATTCCACTCGAATATTGAGGGAATATTCCGTTGGAATGTTTGAGGAATATTCCGTTGGAATTTTGGAGGAATATTCCATCAGAATATTAAAAAAATATTTAATGGAAACATTGTACGAATATTTTTTTAATAATAAAAAATCAAATTATTATTACTGATTTTATAATGTTTCTACCTTCTACGTATCAATTTTTTTAATTTTGTCTTCATTGAAATAAAATACGTTCAGTTATGTAGAATTTATATAAATTAATTCTGCAAATTAAATTTTGAAACATTACAAAAATAGTTTTTAAATAAAAATTTCAAATAATTGATTAACTTTTCATAAATTTCAAATGCGTATTCCGAAAAAAATATTCGTACAATGTTTTAATTAAATATTCCCTGAATATTCTGATGGAAATATTCCTCTCATATTCCAACGGAATATATTCCTTCTATATTTCAATGAAAAATTCCATCAATATTCCAATGGAATATTCCCTCAATATTCCAGTGGAATATTCCGTAGGTCGGACATTTTAATATTCCTGGAATATGGATGGAATATTCTCGGAATGTGAATGGAATATTCCGTGTTATACGGGATTTTTGTTTAATAAATTTTATTTTACTTTAATACAGCCTTGACCTATATTCATCAGTAATATTTGTTTTTTTTTTTAATCAAATAACTGAAATTTAGGACACGCAGGTGTGATTTCAAGTTCAAATTAAAAGAAACATAATAGCGATCATGTTTTGAAATACACATATATATATATAATATAGTCACAGCTTTTACCAAGATAAAAATTATTCTAATTTCCCATATGTCCTCATTTTAGACACTTTGTGAATGTTTTTTTCATCAATAATTACACCGTCCGACAAAATTCAACTTTTTTTTGACCCACAAAAAAATCCAACTTTTTTGGAAACTAGGACCCAAAAAAAAAATACCCGTGTCTGACCGTTTTGCTAGATCAAGTCATTTGTGGTTTTTAGGGGTGAAAACAGCCCCTAAATAAAAAGTGACAAGATATCTTTTAAAAATTATTAATATTTTATAAAACTTGGTATCTAGGGGTTTTCGGGGTCGCTGATTATTAATCTGATGTCAGATTTTCAAAATTCAAAATGGCGGATTCAATATGGCGGTCAAAATTTTAAAAAGTTATTAAATTTTTTTTAAACCTTGATATCTAGGGGTTTTTTGGGTCGCTGATGACGAATCTGATGTTAAATTGTCAAAATTCAAAATGGCGGATATAAAATAAAAAATTCTTAAAAAAACATTTTTTGTATAAAACAATTCAAAAATACCCGCCGTGAAAATGACTTTTTACGCATTTTCACAGTCCAGAAATAATGTTCATCTGATCGAAATTTGAGGTATAAAAGCTCCTTAACGACATGTGGGAGAAACCCACGTGACCTAGTATGGGAAAATGTGTTTTGCAATATCCCAACTTTCTCTAAAATGAAAAAAGATTTCAAGCTAAAATTTTGAGGGTTGATAGATTTGGGTACAATGCACCGCGCTGTTCTCCTGAAAAAACTTAATTTTGCGTTAAATTATTTAAAAACTAATTTTAAAAAGTTTAATTTTTAAACGAAAATGACAAAAAAGATGGCGGCGCATACACAGACGTTGCTTGAGTGTGTCAGTGCTCCAGTAAACAGCGCCAATTCGAGCGAGTGGCCGCTGAATGAACTATGATTAAATACATTATTTTACTATTTATTGCTTTATTTTTATTATTTTTACGTAAATGAGGAGAACAGCCCTATGCTTTGCACCCTCCAAAATCAAGTCTTGAATATTTTAACCCGAAATCATTATTTATTTCAGAGAAAGATAGAAACCACAAAAAAACGTCTTTTGCCCACATGGCCTTAAATGTCTGCAACTCCCTCCATTTATTTAGAGACGCCTACTTTTTCCTCAATTTTTAAATAACCGAATTTTTAATTAACATAATTTAAAATTACAAAAGTGTTAATAAACCGAATTTAAATATTTCAGAATTTTTAAAAAACCGAATTTTTATAGTTCCAAATTTTCAGTTTACACAATAAAAAAATAATCGAAATACCATTGGTTATAATTTTTATGTTCTCGAATATTAAAATTACAGAAAATGAAAAGAGCAGAAGTTTCACTTGACAGACTTTCTGTTCAACCTAATTGCGATTGGACAAAATTTTAAGAGAACAGAAATTTCAGTTAACATAATTTCAATTTTGCAGAATTTTTAGTTAACATAATTTAAAATAAACAGAAATGTCATTTGACATAATTTTTATGTTCTCGAATTTTAACTTTTCCGAAAATAAAAATAACAGAAATTTAACTTGACAGACTTTCTGTTCAACCGAATTGTGATTGGACAGAAATTTAAGAAAACAGAAATATCATTTGTCATAATTTTAATTTTGCCGAATTTTTAATTTACAGAATTGAAAAACAACCGAAACACCATTTGTCAGAATTTTTATGGTCACAAATCTCAGATTAACCGAAAATGAAAACAGCAGAAGTTTCACTTGACATACCAAATCCATTGTGTATTCATTGTTTAAACAATCATCAACAATGGATTTATTCTATCAAATGAAAGTTCTGCTGTTTTTATTTTCGGTTAATTTGAGATTCGAGAACATAAAAATTATGACAAATGACATTTATGTTTATTTTTAATTATGTAAACTAAAAATTCTGCAAAATTGAAATTATGTTAACTGATATTTCCGTTATCTAAAAATTCTGTCCAATCGCAATTAGGTTGAATAGAAAGTCTGTCAAGTTAAATTTCTGTTATTTTTATTTTCGGAAAAGTTAAAATTCGAGAACATAAAAATTATGTCAAATGACATTTCTGTTTATTTTAAATTATGTTAACTAAAAATTCTGCAAAATTGAAATTATGTTAACTGATATTTCTGTTCTCTTAAAATTTTGTCCGATCGCAATTAGGTTGAACAGAAAGTCTGTCAAGTGAAACTTCTGCTCTTTTCATTTTCTGTAATTTTAATATTCGAGAACATACAAATTATAACCAATGGTATTTCGATTATTTTTTTATTGTGTAAACTGAAAATTTGGAACTATAAAAATTCGGTTTTTTAAAAATTCTGAAATATTTAAATTCGGTTTATTAACACTTTTGTAATTTTAAATTATGTTAATTAAAAATTCGGTTATTTAAAAATTGAGGAAAAAGTAGGCGTCTCTTTATTTAGAGTATTGTACGTTCCCAACCCTGGTTAAAAATACAAACAAACAACACACAACATGGTCGATTCAGAATTACAAGAGAAAAATTCTACTTTTTTATTTAAAAAGAGAAAATCTAAAAATTTATCTGTTCGTAAACGAAAAGGCACTGATTCCGAAAATGGTAAAGTTTTAAATAATTGTACAATACATAAATGGAGATTTTATACAAGTGAATTTGTTTTGACGTCTTAAAACGATTAATAATTAAAATTATAATAATATTTAATTTATTTTCAGGAAGCAGTGAAGATGACACAACAATTGTTAAAAAGGAGAAAAAAATCGATTCAAAGAATCCCTTGAGACAAAGTGTAAGTGTCAAGAATTTATTTTTGTCATACCTAACCTCAATTTTGTTTTGAATAATTAAGTTTTTATATGTTACGGATAAATGATTATATTATTATGACCTTTATTTATTGTTAATTATTCTTAAAATGTTTACATATATATAAGTATTTTGGATCGATTATTTGTTTATTATTATTGTTATTTAATTTTTTAGAAACTAAATTTTTTCTACTTTTTTTACGATTATTTTCTTTTGCTTTTATTTATAGACAATGAAATATCGAAAACAGAAAAAATCAGTTGATTCTTCCGAAAGTGAGGAAGAAAAAAGTGTTTCAGTTTCATATAAAAGTCTTGCGACACCAATGCCAGTTGGACCTCAAGATCAAGGAGCAACTGCAACACTTGAAATTGAAACTGAAGTTGATAAAGATGCTCAGGCTATTTTTGAAAAGGCTCAAAAAATAAACAAGGTATTTAGAAGAAAAAAAAAAATTTCTCTTTCTAATTTTTTTTTGTTATTTAATTATGCTTTCAAATAGTATCAATTATTGCTATTATTTTGCTCTTAAAAATTTATTTTTATGCTTTATATCTAAGAAATTTTTTACTTAAGCTCAAAAATTATTAAATTCTACAAAAATTTAAGTTTATATTTTCAAAAATTTTAATATCCTTTCAAAAAATTCAATTATTTTAAAAATCTGCAGTTAAATTTTACCAAATTTCAATTATTTAACATCATTGTAATTAAAAGTCATGAGAAATTAAATTATTTTCAAAATTGTAATTTTAAAATAAAATAAATCCAAGTAAATTCTTCGAAAATTATTTTTGAAATTTTGAATTTAAAATCATATTTATATTAATGTCAAAATTTTCATTTGCAACTATTTATATTAAATTCAAATAATTATATTATTTATAAATCGTTTTATCTACAGCTCTTTGCAATTTTTTTTTTATTTTTTATCTACAAATTTTTTTTCAACGTTTCTTAATCAAAAATTATTTTTGAAAAAAATTTTCCTAGCCAAGAAAATTAGTTATTTTTCACGAAGATGAAGTACACAATGTTTATGATAAACGATTTTTAAAGAAATAAATTTTTAAAATGAAAAATTCTTTAATTTTTTGCCTAAAAAATTTTTTTTTATAATTTGTTGATTAATGACAACAAGAAATATTTTTTTAGGCGAAAAATTATAGAATTTTTCATTTTTAAAGATTATTTCTTTTGAAAATCGTTTATCATAAACGTTGCGTACTTCAGCTTCGTTATTTTTCTTTGAGTGAAAAATATATTTTTTTTTTCAATCATTGATCATAAAATGTGCCTTTAATTCTGATCGTTCAAATGAAGGAACAATTTATTTACTACTTTTTTAATTTCAAAATTTATGATAGAATTTTGCTTTCTGTATTCAAAAATACATTAATAATTAAATATTTAACGAACTTTTTTATTCATAAACGTTAAATTTTATTTTATTTCGTGACCCGAATGAAATGATCAATGATGATTATTAATTACTAGCAAAATTAAACGCGCGCAAGCGCGCCAAATTGAGTATTTAATTGTTTGTTATAAAGAAATTAAAGATTAATATTATCAATAATAATTTAATTTATTAGAATATTATTACATATTAAATGATAATAATGGAAATTATATGTTTACAGGCCTCGGATTATACGACTTTTTCCGACTTTTTTCAAAAATACGACTTTTATCGACTTATTTTAATAAAATGCGACATTTTTTTTCATTTGAAAAAAAATGTAAATAAAATACATTTTTTTATTATAAAATGTAGATCTTCTTTAGATCTTCTTCAATTCAATTATTTAACAAATTTTGAACTAAAATGATTCTTCACTAAATTATTTATTTTTAATAATTTTAATGAAATACATCACAAATTCAATTATATAAAAATTATTTTTTCAATTAAAATTTTTATGAAATTTAACAATTGTTTATAATTTAAAAAAAAATATCACAATAAAATTGAATTATTTTTTAAAAATTTCAATTTAAAATAAACTAAAATTCAATTATTACCCGAAATTTTAATTCAAAATCAATTAAAAATCCAATAATTATCCAAAATTTTCAATTTAAAATTTAATTATTTACCAAGTTTTCAATTTAAAATGAAATAAAATTCAATTATTTTCTAAAATTTCTATTCAAAATTAATTATCCAAATTTTCAATAAAAAATGAACTTAAATTAAATTATTATCCAAAATTTCAATTAAAATTCAATTATTTCCCAAAATTTTCAATTCAAAATGAACTGAAATTCAATTATTTTCCAAATTTAAAATCAAATAAAATTTCATTATTCTCAAAAATTTGAATTCAAAATTAATTGAATTTTCAATAATTTTAATTTAAAAGCATCTAAAATTTAATTATTTTTAAAATTTTCCATCGAAAATTTTTTTTTTGAAATTTAATAATTTCAATTATAACTCTAAGGAAATTAAATTATTTTTAACTATTTTAATAATATTCTTTGAAATTTCAACTATCTGAAATCATTTTTCAATTAAAAATGATTTTCAAATTATTGTATTTTGTCCGCATTTTCTAATAAATTTTTAGTGAAATCATCTAAAATTTTAATTACAAAACACTTAAAGTTTCAATTAATTTCAAAAATCTCAATTTTAAATCTTTGAAAATTCAATTAAATTTAAAAAATGTTTTTCAAAAATTGTTTGATAAATTATTTTTAGTTCTGTAAAATTTAATAATTGTTTGAAAATTAACAATATCTTTTGAAATTTAATTATTTCTAAAAATTTTAACTTTAACCCTTCTAAAAGGATTATTATTAAAAAAAATTTTTTATTTAAAAATCTGTAAAATATTTTTGTTAAAATAAAAAACAAATCCACTTTTTTTGGAATATAAATCGACTAAAACGACTTTTTGTGTCTTTAAGTTGATTCGAGGCCTGTGTTTTTATAATTAATATTTAATAGGTATTCGTTGGCCCCAGGTACCTTAAAAATTAATTTTTAAAAATAAATTTTTTTCAAATTACTATCTTGTACGAAATTTCCTGGCGCTTCTTTTTTCTCATCATAAATTTTATACAATTTTTGAATCAATATACAACTTTAAAAAAAATTTCGTTGGTAAACGTTGTGTACTTCAGCTTCGTGAATTGAATTTTCGAATTTGGAATTTTAAAGAAACTTATTCCGAAATTTGGAAACACAATTATACAACTTTGGCAAAAATGAGAAAAAGAATTGTCAAAATTTGACACGTCATAAGATTATTATTCAAAAAAACACGTGAAATCAGAAAAGGCCAACTTCAAGTTAGGACAGAAGGACAGACCAAGCATTTTATTATTATATAATAATAATAATTAATAATTAATTTAATATTATTATTGTTATTAATAATATTAATATTAAATTAATTATCATTAGACCTTTCAAATATGTATTTGTTAACTAACAATTTTTAATAAATATCCTTTTTTTCAAATATTTAAAGGAGAATTACTATTTTTGTAACGTTTTTTTCTTTGAAGTTTTAATTAATATTTATTTATTCTTTTTCTTTTTAGGAGCTCGAAGGTAAAGAAGACGATAAAATATACAGAGGAATAAATAATTATGCTCAGTATTTCAAAAAGAAGGACTCAGCTGCGGGTAATGCATCAAGTGGAATGGTTCGAAAAGGACCAATTCGAGCACCAGCAAATTTAAGAGCAACAGTTCGATGGGATTATCAGCCAGATATTTGCAAGGACTATAAAGAAACTGGATTCTGTGGTTTTGGAGGTTTGAATATTTTTTTTTTCTCTCTTTATGTAAAATTCTAAATCTCAATTCTTATTCTATGGATAGAATTTTGTTTTTTTTTTTTTTCGAAAATAATTATTTATTCCTTTACAGATAGTTGTAAATTTCTTCACGATCGATCAGATTATAAATTGGGTTGGCAATTGGAACGTGAAGCAGCGGCGGGTAATAAAAATGACAGTGACAATGATGACGATGATGGAAAATATGAAATTGACAGCGACGAAGAAACTTTACCGTTTAAATGTTTCATTTGTCGGAATAGTTTTAGTAGACCCGTTGTCACTAAGTAAGTTTAATTAATTTAATAAAATTATTATTAACATAATTCCTTATTTGTAAATTAATTAATTTATTTAGTTATTGAAAAAAATTTACATCGTTGATTATTGAAGTAATCAAAGTCTATAAAAATTTTAAATGATTGAAAAATAATTTACAGATGTAAACATTATTTTTGTGAGGTTTGTGCCTTGGAACATTATAAAAAAAGTAAAAGATGTTTTATATGTAATGTTCCCACGAATGGTGTATTTAATCCAGCAAAGGAATTAATGGATAAAATGGAACTCGATTCAGATGAAGATGATACAAAGGAGGAAAAAAGTGATAATGAATTGGAAAATTCTGATGAAGCCGACAGCGAAGAAGCGGCGAAGAAAAAACTTTCTCAATGGCAACCAATAGTTTCGTAATTAAAGTAAAAGAAAATTATTTTACTAAATTAATTAATTTTTCGAAATATTTTACATTAATTTTTTTTTTAAATCTAAAAAATTGATATTTTTTAATTTTTAAAAAAATTCCCTATGTATATATATTTTTTTTCTGGTTTTCTCTTTGATTTTCTTGATTTTTTTTCCTTAGTATGATTTAGAAAATTAAAAGTTCAAATTTTAGAACTTTTCTTTTTTTTTGTTTTTTCGTTCGATTATTTGAATTTTCACTATTAATTATTTATTTAATTATAATTTATTTCATTGAAAAGTCAATAAAATAAAATAATTGAATCAAGAAACCTGTGAGAAGCCAAACAAGTGTTTATAATTTTATTTTACATATATATGAATTATGCAAACTTTATTTTTGATCTCGATAGAAAAAAAATATTCGATATTTGTCTCAAGTTTTATTTGAAAAAAATAGAAAATTAATCTTTCAAATAAATAAATAAATTGAAATGATTTTTAACATTTATTCAAATTAAATATTAAACCCTTAAAATTTTTCTTTTGTTTATGATTAATATTTTATATTATTCACTGCATTTTTTATTGTTCTCATGATTTTTCTGGTATGAAAAATAAATTCTAATTCTAAAATTGAATTCGTTAAACTTATTTTTTTTATCTATTTTTTATTAAAAAAAAATTTAAACGAATTTGAAATAATTTCAAAAAATTTCTAAAAAAAATCAATATAATTTTTGTAAAATGTGTAGAGAAAAAGTGGAAAAAAAATAAAAAAAAAAAAAACTTTTCCTGAGACAAAATTATAGTCCTAATTTTACAATTGAATTTGTAAATTTTTTTTTAATTATAAAATTTAATAGAATTTTTTCTAATAGTAAATTTAAAAAAAGAAATTTTTGTAAAATATTTTTTTTTGTAAAATGTAGAGAAATAGTGGAAATAAATAGATTTTTCTTTCAGTGATAAGAGAAATAATAATAGAGACTGGAAAATTATGTTTTTTTTTTTTTTTGTTTAATTACAAGTGGAAAAATTCATCTTCGGTCGGTAAAAGGTTCTCTGTGATGATCAAGGTTATCGATTTGAATGTGGTACATATATATATTCTACATTTACACGTTTAAGACGTATATACAAAATTGCTCTCTATACATATATACTGGTCTTTTGAACACAATTGAAAATGCTGAGCGAGTGAGCGCTTGCTTAAATCGATAAACACTAAACACAATGTTTCCCTCGACTTGTGAAAATGTCGTCGTCGTCGTCGGCAGCTATCAACTATCAAATAGTTTTATTGGAAATATTAAATTTGAATCAAAACTTGACGCGCAATTATTAGAAAATATTCAATTATCAAGTGAAAATATTCTCTTTTGTCAATTTGTTTGCAATTCATTCGTCTAAATTCGACGAGAAAAAAAAAAAAAAAATTCTACGAATCAACAAGAAAAAAGTGTCTATTTTTTAAGCGCAAAAATCAAAAAAAAAAAATTCACTTTTTTAATTAAAAAAAAAAAATTCAATGACGCAAAAATATAAAAAGGAAAAATAGAGAAAAAGTGGAATAATTTCTCAGATCGTACAAATACACACACACACACACGTATATATATGTATATATATATACATGTAATTTTCTAGAAAGCGGAATTTTTTTTTTATAATTTTTGCGTTAAATTACAAAACTAAAGAGGAAAATTTAATCGAGTTTTTGAACATTGGGAAATTGGGAATTAACATTTCAAATTAACCAGGTAGGTAAATTTTTCTTTTTACTAGTTTGAACAGTGAAAAATATATTTAGAAATTTCTTTTTTTTTTGTAAAAAAAAATGGAATGTATAAAATACAAAAAGAAACGTCAATAATTAAGAATTTAATTTTAATAATTTATATGTAATAATTTTTTTTTCTCAATTTAAAAATGTGAATATGGAAAATAGAAAAATTTTTTACATTCACTGGTATTTTTTTTTTTTTATCTTTAAATTTTTCAGATTCTCCTCGTTTACTGATAAATATTTTTAAATTTTTATAAGAAATATCAATGGATTATTTAAAAAAAAAAAAAACAGGATTTTGTTTCTTCAAACTATTATTATCAGTAAAAAAAAATGGAATTAATATTTTTAAAACTGAAATTATTTCAATGGGGCAAAATTTCGTTTATATATCTTTGAGAACACGATTATGTAATTATATAATTCTATATATATATACATATTTCAGGTATAAATTTAATTTTTAAAAACGATAAATTCAATATTGGGTGTTTTATGAATTATATTTTTAGTATTTTTATTATATTGAATTTTTTTTTTTTTATTTGCAAATTTTGTTTTTTTGGAAGAGAAACAATTTTTCGAAAAAAAAATAATGAATTTTTGAATATAAATAAATTTTCGAAATATGAGGATTAAACATTTTTTTCTAGATGATTTGTGGCAGTAATGCCCTCGTCAGAGGAAAGCCAATGGCTTGTATCCTCCTTGAAAGGCAACGCACCGCCTTCAGGAGTTGGGGAACGATCTTTGACAACTAGGATTGGATTATTATATACAGAAGAAATGACAACACAAACATCTAAAGCTGCTGATACGGATATTAGTACAACATCAGCCGATCCAGCTGAACATGATCTTATTGATTCTACCGCTGCACAATTTCATGAAGAAGCCATAAAACAGGTATTTATTTTTATTTTTTTTTGAAAATTTTTCCAGTTAATTTTTATTTTCTATTTCTATTTTTCTTTTTGTTTTTTTTTACTCCAAAAATTTTGAAATTTACCGCGCTTTGAAAACAAAAAACAATTTCCTTTCAAACGTCAAACATAACCTAAAAGTCACGTCCGGTTTTTCTCGGAATCCGCGCAGCTGTTTTGTATTTTTGTCGCACTTTTGTATATTATTGTTCAATTTTTAATTGTTCTCAGCCAACACTGGCCGTATATTTATCTATAGTACAAATGTGTGTCTCGTGATAAAATTAAATTTTTTTTTTTTTTTTTTTCTTAATATTTTATAATGGAAGATCACGATCAACAAGATCCTCCTGATGAATCCATTATTCGTGAGAAACAAGCGCCCCAAGAAATTCTTGGATTCCTGAAAGATTGTCCTGTAAATATAATATATATATACATATATTGTTTTGACATTGTCTGCGATGTGACTAATTTTACGAAAAATTTTGTCATTTCGATGATTTATTACTATTGCATTGCGCATTTGAGAATTTTTAGAAAAAAAAAAAAATTTATGTTTATAATTATCTTTTTTGTCAAGGGATATACAATTCTTTTTTTTTTTTTAAATGTTTAGAGTTATTTATAAATAATGTTTAATTAAGAAGGAAAATTGAATTTGGAATAACCTCTAAATTGAAAAGATTAAAAAAATTAAATTTATCTGAAAATTATGCTATTTTGTTGAACAAAAGGATTTTTTTTTTGTTGTAAAAACTAACTTTGAGGCAGTAAAAATAATTAAAAATAATTTGACTATTTTTAATTGAAATTTCGAGTGTTGCGATTGTTATTTATTTATTAATAATTAATAATATTTTGGGTGCGAAGAAAAGTTGCTCTTTTTATCCTTTTCTACAAAAACATTCAAAGTTTTCGAGTTTAGAATTTTAATCAAAAACTACCATTGAAATTCTATTTGTTATTTTATTTTCGAAACATTTTTTTTATATTTATTAAATAAATTTAATAAATAATTTAATTTTTTTTTATAATATAACTATTTTTAGTTTAATTGTATTACAATTAATATTAATAATCTTAATAATTGAGTTAAAAATATGTGTTTGAAATTTTTTATTTTCAAATGAACGAAATTATTTCTTTTTTTGCTCTATAAATTATTTAAAATTATAATACCGCAATGAAAAATAGTCACGCGAGTAGATTAGTTTATATGTATTTATTTTAGTTTTTATTGAACCAAGTCCACTTCCGGTTCAAAAAAAGCTGGAAGCTATAACTGATAAATAAAAAAAAAATACTACAATGCAAAATAAACAAATTAAACATTTATTAAATTATTAATTTATATTTTGAAACAAAAACCAATATTTTATCATAAATTAGAATAATAATTTTTATTACTCTGTTGCTTTTTTAATAACAAAACATAAAGATAACGATTACTTTGAAATTTTGAATCAATGTAAAAGAAAAAGAAACGCACAATTTCATTTCAACATGTTTTCTTCAGAAACAGATAAAACAAAAAAGAAATTTTATCAAAAAATTTCAACTTTAAAGAAGTAGTAAAACAAATTTTAATGTTCATTTGAACGTTCTGAATTTGCAGTACATTTTATTATAAAAATAAAATAAATATATTAAAATTATGGTAATCGATTTTTAAAGAAATAATTTTTAATAATGAAAAATTCTATAATTTTTTGCTTAAAAAATATTTTTTTTTATAATTTGTTGATTAATGAAAACTACAAGAAATATTTTTTAGACGAAAAATTATAGGATTTAAAAAATTTTTTCTTTAAAAATCGTTTATTATAAAAGTTGCGTACTTCAGCTTATAGTTATTTTAATTGATGAGGTCCGTAACGTTTAAAAAAATGAAAAATTAAAAAAAAATTATTTTTTTAAGTTAATTTATCTCGAATTTTGATTTGCACAAACATTCAATAAATTAATAGTTTTGTAAAAGTCAGTTATTACCTCCGAATAATTTGAATTTTAAGCCAAAATAATAAGTATCCTCTCATTATTTTTTTCGTTTTCGTTTATAAAAACTTTTGCGTACTTCAGCATCATTTTAATTGTTATTAAATTAATTGAAATTGTTTAAATTGAGAAAAATATTTTCTTCTAGGTTGGCGTTGGTTATTTTCAGTTTCTGGTGACATTCTTCGCAGGTTTAAGTCTCGCAGCCGATACTATCGAATTTTTCGTTGTTCCTTATATTCTTCCAAGTGCAGAAGTCGAATTGTGTATTGAAGACAGTGAAAAAGGATGGCTAGGTGAGTAAAAAAAAAAATAAAAGAATTATAAAATTTTATCAATTCTATGGTAACACAATTAAATTTTTGAGATCTATTTTTTTACGCAAACGAAAATGTATAAAAAATACTTATTTTATTGATAAAATATATAAAAAAAAATTTCTTTCTCTTAATTTGTTTCATTCTTAACAATGAGTACTTTGTACGAAAGGCGTTTTTTCTCTTTGTATTTCGTTTACATATAAATAAATAAGTTATTATTATTAATAAATAAATTAATAAATAAATTAAAAAATAAATTGATAAATAAATTAAAAAATAAATTAATAAATAAATTGATAAATAAATCAGGGTGTCTAACGGTCAGGAAAAGTCAGGGAATTTTCTTTAATTTTCTGGAATTTTTTATTAATAAATTAAAGTAACTATCAGTTTCAAAAATTTTTTTATTTTCTTCCCAAAACAATTGCAAATTAAATAATTATTTACTACTATTTATTGAATCTAATAAATGATTTTTTTAAACTTGGATAACAATTAATTAATTTTTTTGCAGTGAATTATTTGGTTTTTTAATATAAATAAAAATTATTTGATACAATTTTATTTTATCGGTTCAACTTCAAATAAAATAAATTATTCATTAATACGAATAATTTTTATTATTTAATGCAAAAACCCACATTTAACTTATAAAAATTTGTATGGCGTCGAATCTTAAATTATCGAATTTCTATTTAGCAAAATTGTATAAAGTGAATTTTATATTGTGCAAAATTTTCAATTTACATTTAACTAAAATTCGATTTAAAAGAATTTCTATTTAGCAGAATTCTTATAAAGCATTTTTTCTAATACTTTTTAAAAATTTTAAATTAATATAATTTCAATTTAACGAAATTTATGTCTATAAAAATTGACTTTAAAAAGAGAACTAAGTAGAATTTTTCTTAAATGAGAATTCTGTTAAATAAGAATTAGTTCGAATTAAAATTTTCTTTAATAAAAACTTTGTTAATTAAGAATTTTGTTAAATAGAAATTCTGTTAATTGTGGATTTATTCAATGACAATTCTATTAAATAAATATTTTGATAAATCAAAATTTACTAAAATAACAATTCTGTTAAAAAAAAAATGTACTTTATGCAATTTTTCTTGAGATAAATTCTGTTAAATTGAAATTATCTTAATTTGAAATTCGATGTACTAGAAAATCTGCTTTATATAATTTTACTAAATAAAAATTTAATAATTTAATATTTGACGCCGTAAAAATTCTTTTAAATTAAATGTTGAGAATATTTATACGCACCCCAATTTATTTATTCAGGGTGACCAGCCAACCGGGAGAAAGCCGGGAGAAATTTGAATTGGGAGAAAACCGCGACTTAAAAATTAATCCGTGAGATTTTATGGGTTTTGTGATTCGCGCAATTATTCAAAAATTGTTCAACTTTTAACCATCTAAAATTTCGTGTTAATTATGTAAAATATATGAGCAATTCCACGTGAGATTGAAGGGTCTATCCTCAGATTCCTTCTATATACTACGTCTAATCTAATTCTGTGTCAAAAAAAGAATATTAAGTATTACTAAAAATCGAAAATTAATTATAAAATGTTATTTAGAGAAAGACTGAAAAATACCGTGCCGAGAAGGTAGGAAACCCCCGCTAAGTAAACGGAGCCCGATAATAAGTTTAAAAATTAAAAACAAATTTTATTTTTTAAATAAAGAAATAAATTTAAAAAATTTAATTTTTCAAAATAAATTTTATTTGATCAAAATAAAAATTTTTTAGTGCAATTTAAGTCAGTGAAAAGTTAGGGAATTTTTTTCCTAGCAGTTGTTAGACACTCTGATAAATTAAAGAATAAATAAAAAAAAAATTGAGGAGGAGTAATATATTCTAAACCTCAAAAAGTGTACAATGAACAAAATAAATTAAAAAAAAAATAAAAGATTAAATTACTGAAAAATTATTATTATTATTAAATTATTTAGCGAATATCACACTTTTGGGACTTGCTTTGGGAGGACTTTGTTGGGGAGGATTGGGCGATCGACTTGGAAGATGGAGAACTTTGATATCAGCAATGTTGGTTCACGTAATATTCAGCGCTGTTGCTACGTTTATGCCAACTTATGGCACCTTCATGACTGCTAGACTCTGCTCTGCTGTTGGGTAAAAAAATTTATCATTTTTTTTTCCTAGTCAATAACAATAGTTTTTTATTAAAAAAAAATTCTCTTTTTTTCAATTAAAAAAAAAACATTTATTCTAATTTGAAAACGAAATATAAATTTCAAAAAAAAAATTTGAATAGACATTTTAAAAATAAATTTAATTACAAGGAAATTAAAAATTACTTGAAATTATGAATAAAGTTAGAAATAATAAATAAAGAAATAGAGAGTAAAAAGAAACCGAATTTTTAAATAAAACTTTGCGTGGAATTTGAATTTTTTTGCTTTAATTATATAATAAAAATGTTTTAGTGTTGGCGGAGCTTTGCCGTTGACATTCACATATTTGGCGGAATGTTGTCCAAGATCAAGACGAGGACGATGGGTTGCGGCTCTTGTTTGCGTGGGAGCAATTGGCGGTGTTTACACTGCTTTAATTGCCATGGCTATATTGCCAACAACTGGAGATATGATTGTCTTGGAAAATAAGGAACATTTTAGCGCGTGGCATCGTTTTCTCTTGCTTTGCTGCTTACCTGCACTTGGCTCTACAATTGGCCTTGTATTTTTACCGGAAAGTCCACGATATCTCATTGAAGCTGGTCGCGATGTTGAGGCTATGATGGTGTACCAGGTGTGTATTAAAAATTTATTTTTTTTATAAATAAATTCCATATTTCTGTCCGTAAAAACAAAAAAGACTAAAAATTGGTCGAAAACGGGTATAACAGCAATTTAATTTATAAAATTAAAACTATGATTCAATAAATTTATTATTTTATATTTAATTAAAAATGAGGTTTGAATAACTTTTTTTTTAATTTCATATACTTTTTGTTAAAAATTTTTATTTTTTTTTAAAATTGAACAAAAATTCAAATTTGCAATTGAAAGTATCGTTTTTTTTTTTTTAGAGGATATATAAGAAAAATGACTCAAAGAAGGCAGCAGCGGAAGCTGAATATCAACTTTCGGAATTGGAACTTCCGAATAAAAGACCGTGTCCCTTGGCTCCACCATCACCCTCGGATCATTCAAGTGTTCTGGGTGATATCCTCTACTCAATCGGAATGGTATTTATTTTTCTCCATTTTTCGATTTCATTGAACATAAAAATGTCGATGAAATTCAGTTTATAATCAATGATTGAGAAAAAAAAACAAATTTTTCTTGAAAAAAATGTTCTTTTAAAAATTCTTAAAACGCCGCGAATTTTTATTTTACTGAAATTTTATTTGTCCGAATAAATATGAAGCTGAAAAAATAGCGCGCAAATTTAAAAAAAATTTAACTATTTTAAATTATGTCAAATGAAAATTGTAGTAAATTAATTTTCGGAGCTTATTCATGCGTCTCTTGATAATAGACATTGTGAATTTAATCGGCGTGGATAAGAAACACTTTTTTTTAAAACTGTTTTAATAACTTCGTTTTTTTTGGTTTTCTTTCTTTCTTTTTGTAGTTCTGGAATTCGTTTCTTGAACTCTTTTCATCGCAACATTTGCGGGCAACTGTTGTACTTCTAGTCATTTGGTCTGCTTCAGCGTTTGGGTGAGTTTTCTCCTTTAAAATTTACAATTTCTAATTAATTTTACATATTTTATGAATTAAAATTTTTTTTAATTTGTTTTAAACAATATTTTTTTTTATATTTTATGTAATTTTATACAAAGTTGTTAGATTATAAAATTTTATAACTTTAAAATGATATTTTAAAAAATAATTATCGTTTTAATACTAGAATTAAAGATATTTTCCCTAGTACTTAATTCTTGTTTTACACTTAAAATAAGCCACGTTTAATACTAATTTAAAATTATCTGATAAAATTTCAATTTCAACTTTGAAATTTTTTTTTAAACCGGAGAAAAATCCTTGAATTTTGTTCAATAATTTAATTTATTTATTTATAATTTAATTTCTCAAAAAAAAAAAAAAAATTCAATTTTAGATTATATGGATTAATGGTTTGGTGTCCGGAATATGTGAAATTATTGCGAGCAATCGAGTACAAAACTCACACCGAAGTATTCAAAGACCAAGAACTCACGAACAAAACATTCACAGGTTCCTTGGAAAATCGACAATATAAGGATTCAAAATTTTTTAATTGCAAGTAAGTTACAACAGAGAAGAAAAAATGGATTTTCATTTTAATTACTGAAGTTAAATGAAACTTAAAAGTTTTTTAAAAATGAAACTTTTTTTTTTATCTAAAAAACGAATTTTTGAATTTCAGATTTAATAAAATGATATTTAGTCACGTTGATTTTGATAATTGCACTTTCCAAGCTGTGGAATTCAGTAGCATCAAGTCTAGCAAAACACATTTTATAGACAGTATTATCGAAAATTCCAAGTAAGTAATTATTTTCCTTTACGTTTTTATAATTTTTTTTTTTTATGAAATTATAAATAGAATTATTTACTTATATGTTGAAAAAAAAATATGTTTAAAGATTTTTGGACACAGATCTATCAGCTCAGGTATTTGTTAGATGCAAATTTGAAAATAACACGGAATTAAGTATAAGTAATCCATGTCCAACGATGGATTTGGATTATAATATTTACATTGAGGAGGTAATTTATGGTCATCTTGTTGGACAAATAATGATCGTTTTATCGGCAGCATTCACTGGATTTGCACTCACTAATTTACGGAGACCAAAGATAATTGGTAAATTTTATATTCTCATATTTCATAAAAATTAAAATGAACAGAATTTTGACAATTTGAAAATTATCATAAAATATTTCAATTAAAAATAAAATCTTCTATTATATTAAGTTAACAAATTTCGAAAAACGACACCGACCCCGTGACCTCGACACCGTCCTTGAAAAATCTATTTTCAATTATTTTCAAATAAATCAAAATACTTTGCATATATGCTTTTAGAAAATCTTACAAACTATTTTTATGTAACATCTTTTTTCAATTTTAACCCGAAAAAGGGTTATTTTGCAATTTTTTAAGAATTTTTTGATTTTTTTATTATTATTGTTTATTATTTATTGTTGTTTTTTCAATTTTTAGTTAGTAACCTATAATATTGTGTCTAATTTTAAGTGTCATTAAAATCAAATTACATAAATTATTGTATTGTCGGATTTTTTAAATTTTAAATAATTTTTCATTTAATTGTAAAATTTGTTTTTTTTGCAGGTATCTCTTTATTCTTTTCTTCCATCGTTGCACTTTGCTTGGTTTTTACGGATACAAGTAGAACTGCTGTTCTCAGCTTTGAAGGTGCTTTTCTCGCAGTTTTTGCAATAGCTTGGACGTCATTGATTCTTGCTACTGTTGAAAGTTATCCCGTACATATAAGGTAAAAATTTATTTTTATTTATTTGGTAAATAATAAATCAATCATTTTTTTAAAAAAAGGTTACCTATAATAACATTAGATATTTAAAGTAAAATATTTATTAACATCTTCTTTGTGTTTTCTTACAGATGTACTGGATTTGGTTTAATAGCAGCTGCAATACGCATATCCGGCTTGATTGGTACAATGACGTTCCAATCGCTTGTAGGTTCACCGCTCATTGTTCCGGCAATATTGACAACGGTGGCTTTATTCTTGGCGAGTATCGCCACCTTTCAATTGCCACTAACTGACTCAGTCTTCTTATAAATACACACATAAAATATATATACACACATATATATTAAAAAAAAGAGGAAAATCCCACAAACATCTTGAAATGAACAATGCCAAGAGAGCAGAGGAAATTCCTTGTTTGTTATGCTCAATTACAAAAAAATGTCGAAGGTAAAATTGTTTTTTCATACATATACATACATACAAGAATTTACTGATACCGAAAGTCAAAGTCAAAGTTAATCTAAAAGATTAACGCGCATAAAAAGGGATAGAAAAAAATTCCCTTTTTTTCCATTTCGCATATATGTAGAAGACAAAAAAAAAAAAAAAAAAAAAAAAGAGGCAGAAAAATCTAGAAATGTTTCGAAAATACAGAACAATAGAATTGTCGGAAAGTTCATTAAGCGCACAGAGATTGTTCTCGTATATAGTCTACAAATTGTCAAAGAGAGTGATCAAATTTTATATTAAAAAAAAAAGAAAAAAAAGGAAAAAAAAAGAAAATACTGTTGATGTTAAGTAAAACTAGTCATTGAACTCGCGTTTATAGAAAAAAAAAAAATTTTTTAATTTCTCAAACACCAGTTTGATGATCTAGTTTCTATATTATAGTAATGTTGGGGGAAGAAAAAAAAGTAGGAATTCAATTTTTACTCTAACTACTTGTGAGGGAGAAAACAAAAAAATTAGCTGAAGGGAAAAAAAATATCTTAAAAAGAAGCAATATCTGGGATTTATTACTATTACTACAATCCCTCGACAGAGCAAAACATAAAGAGGCTAAAAAAAGAGATTTACAAAATACACTATATATAATCATATATATATATATTTTAGTAATTGAGATTAGTTCGAAAAAAAATGTGTAAATTTTTTTTGAAAAATTTGCACAACTCGAGAATTCAAATTCTCAATAATAATAATAATATTCGATCGGTCAATTCTATAAATAACTCAATTAACGAGAGTCGTTTTTTTTTTTTACGAATTAATTTTTTTTCTCGCTCACTCTCTCGTCTTTTATTTATAAAAAAAAATTCAAATAACATTAAGATTTCATAAATTAGTAAAGAAGAATAGACTGGCGTAGATATTGAGACATATCCGATAAAAAAAAAAAAAAATTCCTTCTTTGTCGGTGATTATTCATATCTCATTATAGTTGTTTTTCCCTAAATATTCTAGCTTGTATACATACTATATATATATAAAAATATATATATATATAAAGAGCACTAACGCAGCAAAATTGAAAATTAAAATAGTTTGCTCTTTTTTGACGAGTCAAGTATTTTATTATTTAAAAAAAAATGAATTTTGCATCAAAATTCGATTCAATAGAATCGAATTTTTATAATTTGCAAAATTAATCTGTCTTTGCGAATTTTTTTTTTATATTTCTTTCGAAAGAAACAATTTTTTTTTTGTATACGAATCTTACAATCATAATATCGCGATTCATTGAAAAAAAAGAGATTCTCCTTTGAATATAATATAAATATTCGAGAATTGTAAATTAATAAAATTAGTGTAATTTTATTATTACACTGCCAAGAATATTCTCAAGCACTGATAGGTAGAAACTTGGACTTTGATAAATAATATTTCACATATAAATAGTATGTAAATCACATTTTTCAAATCTTAACAATCAATATGCTAAAAGATTTTTTAACGTAATCATAAGAGTATATAATAATATGAATATTATCATCAAAGCTCATTTTAAAACAATATCAAATATAATGAAAGATTTTTAACGAATTTTTTTTTTTTAAAAAGATGTAATAATTTTATTTTTACAATTTTATAAATTCAGAATTGAATTTTTTTTTAATAACAATTTTTATCGAAAACAAATTATTTTTTCATTTTTTTTTTTTCCCAAAAAAATAAAAAACAAATTTTACGAATTTTTAATTATTTATGTTCATTAAAAAAAATTTTCCTAAATAATTAAATTTTTAAACACAAAAAACATTTATTTAAATTTTAATGAATACCGAAAGAAAGAAAACAGTATTTTTGTACACATTGCATGAAAGTACAAATAATTTTCATACTTAAACTGTCGAACTGATAACTAAAAAAAATATATCAAATTGTCGCTAAATTGAGCGATACTTAAAGAAACGTGTTTTTAACTAATCTCATGTAGATATAAGAAAAAATTTTCGAAAAATAATTTTAATAATTAGAAATTGAAAATAATTGAAAACCTAGAAAAATAAATTAAATTTTAATGATTTTATAGAATTATGAAAACAAAAATTTATTTTATAAAAAGTTATTTAAACATTTTATTTGAATTGATCAATTTTTCTAAATAGCAAAAAAAAATTTATTTACTGAAATTTACGAAAACTAAAAAAAACACACACACACAAACAAAATATAAAAATTGAAGTAATTTTTAAATAATAAAAATTTAAATTATATTTTTTTGTTAAATAAAAATTTTATGTTTCCAAAAGTTTCAAAAATATTGTAAAATAATTTTTTAAATCTATTTTAATATATTTTTTTTTACTTAAATAAAAATTAATTTTTGTTTCAACAACTTCGGAAAATATTGTGAAATAATTTTTTAATCTATTATAATGTAAATTTTTAACATTTTTTTTAAAAAAATTAAAAATTTAAAAAATTTTTATAATTCAAAGTGATTTATAAAAAATCAAATTATTAAAAACATCTGATACTTTTTTTTATAACAAAAAAAAAAAAAATACCAGTTTCTACCTTTAGGTTGCTTTTGATAAGACACTTGGTTTTTGTTGAATCTTGCTTGTGCTCGTCTCATGGATCTATAAATATTAGAGAGAATATGAAAAAAAACTCCTCCCTTTTTTTAATGAAAAAAAAAAAAAATAAACAAATTATTTTTCTACAGACTAGCAATAATTGCACACATTGTGATTAATTAATGACTAATGTTGAAAATAGGAGAGTTAAACAATATATACGTATATATATAATCTTCTCATATTATTTATATATAAATATATATAGTTGATTACTGAACTTGTTACTAGCACAAGCATTTCTGTATTATAATAGTCTGTTCCTATACATAGGTATATTAAAAAAAATATATAGAAAAAAAAAAAAAAAAAACTGTATAAACTTAATTGTTTCATGTAGACATTAATTTATGCGACATATCACGATACTTATATCAGTAAGCGTTATGATTCGCGAATATAGATTTTTAAGATACTCAGTCAGACTAATTATGGTATATATACTATATATATTGTAAATTGTTGATAATGCGAATTGTCATTTAAATAATAATAATAATAATTTTTTTTTGTTATTTAATTTTATTATGAGAAAACAATACTCAATATAATATTAGCTCAACATTTTATTCGATGCCTATTTAAGGTATTTTTCTGATATAGAAAAAAAAATTGTATTCCCCCTTTGAAGAATTTAAATGTTTTTCTAAATTTTATAATTTAGAAGAAAAAAATGTCAAATTTTTGTACGAGATATTATATTATTATAATAAGATATTTTTATAATATTCTTTAAACATTCAATTATGTGAAAGCATTTTTCAATTAAAAAACATTTGAAATTCAATTTTTTTGTCTATATAATTTCTAATAAATTTTTCGTCACTAAAAATTTTAATTAAGAAATTATTTGATGTTTTTTTCAAAAATCATTGAATTATTTTTTTTTTTAAATTTGAATTTTATATCTTTGAAAATTCAATTACTTTTTAATAAATATTATCTAAAAATTATTTGATAAATTATTTTTAATTCTGTAAAATTTAATTTAATTTTTTAAAATTCCAACTATAACTCTTCCACCAAAGTTCAATTATTATTTTTAATAATTTTAATATTTCTTTAAAAATTCAATTATTCTAAGTAAAATACTTATTAACTAATTGTTGTTAAAATAAAAAAAAAGAAATCGCCTTTTTCTGTAATGACGATATCAAAAAAAAAAGTTTTATTACTTAAAAATGTAAGTAAATAATATAGAAATTTTTATTAAAATTTTTTTTTCCTTAAAAATTGACATTTTTTTTTTTTTTCTTCTAAAGTATATAATTTAGAACAAAATTTTAATTCTTCGAAGGGGAATATAATTTTTTTCTAAATGCCTGTATCTAGCAAGAGAAATGCCTTACAGAAAAGAATGGTACAATATTTTCTAAATAATTTTAATTTACTATTTTGTTCCCTTATTAGATTTCGAAGTTTTTACTTAAAAAAAAAAAAAATTGGTAGGTTGAAATACAAAAGTTGTGATTGTGTTAATTTATATAAAAAATTTATTATTTATTTTTTATTTATTTTTTTTTATTATTCTATTATTTTCTTCTTGCATAATATTTGACCCGCCGGAAAATAAAAGGGCGCATAAACTTTATGCGCCCTTTTACTTTCCGGCGGCTCATTTGTGCTTTCATATTAATAAAATAAAATCAAATTCTTTGCCTAAGTGCCTAATTTTTGATAAGTCCATCTTGGTTGTGATTTATTAATTTTTCTGTGATAGATATTTTTTTTTTTTATTTTTATTTATTTATTTATTATTTTTTTTTTTTTTTTTTTGAGCTACAAATACAGAAATCTTTCATCCACTCAAAAAGCCATTATTTCTAAATGGTAAATTTTATAAACACAATTAGAAAAGAATTTATAAATATTACTAAAGTATTTTATACAAATAAAGAAAAAAATAAAGTCTATAAAAATGCGAAATTTTCATTAAAAGAAAGATAATTGAAAGAAATTTTCTTTTTTAAAGAAAAAATAACAATTTTTTTTATTTTTAAAAAATTGTATTACAATGAAAAACGTTTTTATTTTTTTAATTTTTTTATATTTAGCATTTTTAGACTTTTTTTTCCTTTGTAGAATATTTTATATAAAATTTAATAAATTAATTTCTTTTCTTATACTCAAACTTGTTATAGTATAATAAATTAAAATAACATTGTTTTTTTTTTTTTTTTTTTTTTAAATATTGACATTAGATGACAATTCGTATCGTCAAAGAGAATGTTCTGTCATTGATCTATAGATATTAAAAAAAAAAGAAATAGCAAAATTCTATATGAGTTAATTTTGCAAATCAAAAAGAAAATGTTTTATAAATATATTCATTATGTTTAACTGTCGTAAAATCAAAAAAAAAAATAATAAAAAAAAATAGTTCCTGCTCATATTACAAATAGAAAAATCATTTTATTTTAGTATTTCGACACATTAATTTAATCTCTATGTTTTTAATTAGATCATTATTGCTGTAATATTGATTTTTTTTTCATTGAAAACACAGCGAGACTGCATTACATAGTAATTATAATAATTAATAATAATAATGGATTCAAAAGAAACAGTGGTGTTCAGAAAAAAAAAAAGAAATTTAAGTGCGTCTTTCGAGATTTTGTTATTTTTTAAAAAAGAAATCATAATTTTCTTTTTACTATAAAGAGATGGAGAATTTTATTTTGAATCAATCATTACAAAAAAAGAAACTAAATTATAATTTGTTAAATTACTTTTTGTTCCTCAAAAATTGGAAATAAAATTTTTTTCTGTTTTTCTAATGATTGATTCATTTTAAAAAAGAAGACCTTTTTTTTTTTTAAAAAAAAAGGAAGTAATAGACAAAATTCTTATCAATCTCACTATTATGTATTTTTTAGATTACTATAAGTAAAATAATTGAAAAGAAATTAGTTTTGTGCAATTTTATCGAAAAATTGTTGATCTTAGTGAAAAAAAATTGTTTAATTTACAACAAAAAAAAAAGCTGTATAATATACTTATTTGTAATATGTTATCGAAAAATTGACTTTTTTTGAACAAAAAAAAAAAAACAAACAAAAAAGAAGTCTTATTTCCTGCAAATCTCGTCAAAATCCTATTTTTTTCAGAATTACAAGGTTTTATGTAAAAAAAAAATTTTTGTGTGGGCCGAATAAATCAGTTTTTTTAATTTATACGCCTCCTTGTAATGAAGAAAAAAAATAAATAAAACTACTGTAGGCCCTACGAAAGACATTTTTTGTATTATTTATCAAAATAGAGAAATATTCGTTTTTCTAGATTTTAGTGTATATTTATATTATTATAATATATAATATGTATATTATTATTTGAGACTTTATTTGCATTTTCTGTATAATTTAATATCGTATATAGAATTTTTAAAAGATATATTTTGAATTGTATTTTTTTTTCTACTCCTTTTCTTGATTTTGGAAAAAAAGATTTTAAAACATTAATTGGAATTTTTTTTTGGCAAATATTTTCAAAACGAAAAAAGAATTTTTTTTTTTTGAGAACGTAAAATGGTTTATTAGGTATCGAGTTTTACAAATATTATCACACATTTGTTATGAATGCTTTCTTTTTTTTTCCGAGATGGTTTCTTATATAATATTGTACAAATATAATTATTACATGCGCGATAATGAATTAAATTCTATAGGTACATATTTATATATAAATAATCGATTATCTTATATAAAATGGTATAATTCGCGTTATATGTACAATAAGGGTTTTTTTTTTCGTTAGTTGATCAAATATATAAAAAAAAAAAATGTGAATGAATTCGTTGAGATAAAAGATATATTATATAAAAAAAAAAAATTTTTTTTTTTTGATCAACTTTTATATACGAACTACCCTTCTTTTTCACAATCAATAAATAATATCAATTCCGCACTGGTAATATGCAAATATGTAACTAAATTATTCATACTTTTGTGGTAAAAAATATTTCCAAGTCTCGCAGTCTCGTTACCTCTTTTTTGTTTTCATTTTTTTTTTTTTTTTACATGGATTTTCGACTGGCACAGTACGTGAAAAAATTTTAACAATATTTCTCAAAAAAACAGAGAAAAAAAAATAAACTGACTGCTTTAAAAAAAAATAATAATAATAATGAAATATAAATTCTAGGCAATCAGTATCTTAGAAAATAATATTAATATTAATAATTATAATTATAATTATAATAATATCTTAAATAATATAAACGTAATTTACATGTCTCTGAATTGGAAAGCCCAAAGCGTGTAAATTTATTAAAATATCGAAAAGCTATATTAGAAAATCTCTAACGGTGCGGGAATTATTAATGTTTTTCGTTACAATTGCGTATGAATTTTTTTTTTTTTCATTTTAAGCGCTAGTATTTTTTGGACCTTCACTCAAACTTTATTTATATTATTCTATATATATATTCATGAAGAGAAAAAAAAATTGGATATATTTTTTTTTATCAATATTCCAATATTAATTTATTTTTACAAATTTGCGTATAAAAATCCAGTCTATCGAGAAAATTTATTATTCTTAAATTTCAGTGTATAAAAAATGATTTTAAAAAATTTGATGAAATGTCTCTTGAAAAGTTTTACGATTTTTTTTTTTATATAAAAAGTTTGTAATTGCATATATTAGAAAATATACTTCTTTTAAAAATTTTTTTAGAAAAACTTTTTTGTATCGAAAAAATTTTTTTTGCCGAAATTCGGTCCAAGTGAAAGTGTTTTTCTCTTCTCGTTTTCTTTATAATAGAGCATTCCTTGTAAAAGTTTTTTTTTCTGCAAAAATAACTTTTTGTTTCCATATTTCAAAAAAAAGAACAAAAATCTGTTATTGTGGATAAAATTGTTATTTTAATATTTAAAAATTATTAAATTATTTTTTTATTTGAAAACTAAAAGAAAATGTAAAAAACAAATGAAAATATATCACATGGAATGCTCCATTTTTATATATAATAAATATTTTTGTTTTATAGAATAATATCTTGCGGAGCGCGTAAAAAAGCTCGTTTAACATATTTTTATTTAAATATTATATCATCATCAGTGTGAAAAAAAAACCGTGAGGCCTATTTCATCGAAATATTACACAAATAATATTTAATCCTTTCAGTGAGATCAAAAAAATGCATCATCGCACTTATCTACATTTAGAAAAATGTACATCGAATAATTATAATTATAACTGCGTTGTTATTATGTATTTTTTTTTTTTTATAGAAAGAAAAATTTTTTTTACACTCATTCTCATTTAGAAATGAGACCAATAAATTTGCTTTTAGGCCGTTTGAACTTTTCAAGGCGTTTTTCTTTTTCAATGACACTGAAAAATTAAATTTTTTATTACTATTTTTTAAAAAAAAAAAAAAGAAATTTCGGTGCCATTTTAAAGAATGCAGCCTCGAGAGAAGGAAAAAATTTTTTTCTTAATTTACAAATTGAAAAGTATTTTACATGGTCGCTTTCTCGTTTAAAGAAAAAAGCGCTCTGATTATATATTTAAAAAAAAGGCTACTAACGTCCATGACAATATATATTAAATATATGGCGCGTTTTTTTCAATGACAAAACTTATTTTTATTTTTTCTTTTTTTTTTAAATCAGTCTCTTTAAGTCCTGAACCCTGGCAGTAAAAAATGGCAGTTTAAAAATTGTTCAAAAAAAAGAAAAAAACACGGGTATTTTCACACACTTTTGAACTTGAAGGCAAAATCGTTTTTTTTTTTTTTTTTTTTTTTTAATCAAAAGCATGCAAGGACTTTGTTTTCGTAATAAGAGTCCTTTTTTTTAGGCCATTGCACACTTTCACACTAAGCGCGAAAAAAAGACGATCGTTTTATTTGGACTGAAAAAAAAATTAGTCCTTTGATATTATTACTTCTTTAAACTGCAATATTATCTGAATTATATGATATTCAGAATATTGATCGATTCATGCGCATCGATGTCAAAATCCCTTAAAAGCTATTTTTTGTCAATTGGAATTTTGTTTTTTTTTTTTTTTTTAAATTTTATTCCAAAGGATTAATATTTTATTTCACTGGGTTTCGTCCTTTGTAATAATAATGGTATTATTATTATTATTATTATTATTATTATTATTTTATCGTTGTTTGCAATGCAAAATTTAAAACGCTAACGCTAGCACCAGAGACAACAGTTATTTAGGCCGCGTAAGAGAAAGCGAAAAAAAAATTCGATTTTCATCAAAAAATAAATAATCAGATCTTTTGTTTCTTCGAAATTAATTTCGAAAGCTAAAAGCAAAAATTCGCCTTTTTTTGCGATCTTATTATTTATAATATATATAAATATATAAAAAAAAAGTAGTAGTAATAATATAATAAGTATCGATTTTTTTTTTACAGTTATATTTCATGTGTAAAATCATTTCATTTGCGATAGTCATTGTTAAAAAAATAATACTGAAAACTGGAAAGATTTGAAAAATAAATTAAATTTTATTTTAAGATATAGAAATCTTTAGAAAATAAAGAAAAACGATTTTTTCAATTTTTGGTTCTATTATAATGATTGAAAGAAAATTATTTTTAATCTCTTAAAATTTGTCTTTTTGTATTTAAATATTTTAATTTCAATTTTAAATATATTTAATATTACAATTTTTTATTCTTTCTATGTATTAATTTTTTCCGAATTAAAATTTATAAATATTTTTCTATAAATTTCTTTCTAAATTGAAATAATTTCAAATTTTTAAAATATCTTTAAAATTTTTCCTTTTCTAAGTCTTAAAATAGAATTAAAACAAAAAAACAGCAAGCAAATTTAACGTACGTTCAAAATCTACGTTTGATATTATTATTATAACGATCAAAATAAGAATAATTAGAATAATAATTATAGAAATTTTAAAGACCTATATAAGGTACACATTAAATTATTATTATAGAATAATAATTATAATAAATAAACTTTAAGTTGAAAGTAAAATAACCTAAAATTGAATATTTTGAAAATCCTTCCAATTTTTTGCAACATTGCTTACCAATTAAAAAAAAGAAAAAAAAATGATAAATGACTATCGCAAAAAAAAAATATGAAGTCGAATAAACTAAAAAAAAAGATTAGAAATAAAAATTAAATAAATTAAAAACAATAAAATTGAGTATGTTTAACAAGTGGAATGCCACAGTCGTCTCTCAGATACTAACATTTAGAAATTAATGTTTAAGACCCGGGTGGAGATGGCACGTGATTTTTTTTTAAGGGTAAACACTCTAGCACTCAAACTCAGATGCAGTTATGGCATTCAAGTCTTTCATGAGCCCATCCAATGTGGCCATTTCTTGATTCAATTCTTCAGTGCTGTATGAAGGCTGTGAAAAAAGGCAGTTAAAGTTAAAGCCAAGTTTTTATATTATTATCGCAAAAAAAAAGGAAAACGATAATTAATTTGTTTAATAGGAAGTTAACTTTCTTTTTTCTCTTTTCTTTTGGTTTCATGCTCTACAAAAACACTTTACCTTTAGTCGTTCAACTTCTTCGGGAGTGTGATTTGTGCTCGAAGCTGAGACGAGACGATTTTTCGCCAATTGACTTGTGCCAAGGGTCTTTTTATAGGGACTTCCTGACATTGCAGGTCTCACTGTTACTTGGGAAGCTGAAAGAAAGAAATTCTATTTTAGAAACAGGGATGTGTCCGAAAATGCCATTTTTGTTCTGTTCCGTGCCAGTGCCACGGAATAAAAATATTTACATATTTAGTTCCGTGCCAAGACATGGAACAAAAATGGTTGTGTATTCAGTGTCGTGCCGAGGCACGAAACGAAAATGTATATATATTTAGTTCCGTGCCAAGGCATGGAACGAAAATATATATATTTTTAGTTCCGTGCCAAGGCATGGAACGAAAGTAGTTACACATTTAGTTTCGTGCCGAGGCACAAAACAAAAATGGTTATATATTCAGTTCTGTGCCAAGGCATGGAACAAAAATAGTTTTATATTTAATTCTGTGCCAAGGTACAAAACAAAAATTTACAGGTATTTATTTTCGTGCTATAAGTACAGAATAAAATTAATTATTTAGGAATATTATTCCGTTCCAAATACGTAAACAACAATAAATGAGAACAGAATGTCGGGCCTGTTTACATTAAGTGTCCTTGCACTCAAGGATACTATCTCTCAAATTCGTTATATGTCCAACATTAGAATTGAAAAGAGACACGAAAATGTTTTTATTCTAAATAATATGTAATTAGTCTCTTATTATAAAAAAATGAAACCACAGCTTTATGAGTTACATGCGTAATACTTTTTAATAAAATTGATAAAATCAATTACTCGACTACAATAAAATATATCATATAAAGGGTGGTATTATTAATAAGGGGCCCTCCATAAAATGAGTTAGCAATATTTTATTCTTTTTATAACCCCCGGCCCCCCTCGTTATCAATAGCGTTACTTTTTCTAAACAGTAATGTGCTGTAGGAACAGTTACTTTTTTTTAAAGAGTAACGCGTTACCCTTACTTTTTCTATGCAGTAACATACAATCTTTACTGCAACTATTTTTAAAAAGTGACGCGTTACCGTTACTTTTTGTAAAAAGTATTGCTAATCGTTACCAATACATTTTTTTATAAAATAATTCGTTAACATTTTTTTTTGAACAGTAACGCGTAATCGTTACCGATAATGTTTCTAAAAAATATCGCGTTACATTTTCTAAACAGTAATGTGCTATGGGAACAGTTACTTTTTTAAAACAGTAACGCGTTACCGTTACTTTTTCTATTTTTCTTTATTTTTTGAAAAATTTTCGAAATTTCAGTTTCTTTAATGTAGACCTATTTTCAATGATTTTTTTTCAATTTTTGATAAGAGAAGAAAAGTTTCAGTTTTTGTTTTACTTTTCAATAATGTTAACAAAAAATTTTTTTTTTCCATTTTTTATAAACAAATAAAGTTTTTTTTAATTTGGCTATGATATTTTTTTAATTTTTTTTAAACATACCTGGAAATACTAAGAAAATTTTGAAAAAAAAAATTTAGAGTGGGCCGATAAGTTTTATTGGTTTAAATATTAAAAAATTTTTTTAAATAATTTTGTTCTTCTCCCATTTTGACCTTATATATTTTTATGACAAATACATGAAGTCAAAGTACAGCCCTAATATGCTGTAAGGTGGGCAAATATTATTGAGCGGCAGTGTATATATGTATAGTAAATAAATAAAATAAATAAGTCGCATACAATAAAAATTGTTTATCAACAAGTTGACTGTCTATTAAATGTTAAATAAGATTTCTGAGAAATTTAATTAAAATAAAATAAATATAGACTAAATATACAGGGTGTATCATAACCGGGTACTATCATGAAAACATGTAATCATAAAATATTCTATAAGTTTTTACTCAATTATTATTCCCTAACAGCATCCGGATATTCAAGAAATCCTACGAACGTCCTAGGGATATCCGATAATTGGGATATCCATAGATATCCTGAGGACATCGTAGAGATATCCAAATATCCGACTACGGCTAGGACATTTGGCAAAATTATTCGGCATATTGAATCCGCCATCTTGAATTTTGAAAACTGATATCGGATTCGTAATCAGTAACCCAAATAACCCCTGAGTAACAAGTTTCATGCAAATACAATAATTTTTTTAAAAAATCGTCTGCCATATTGGATTCGCCATTATGAATTTTTAAAAACGGATATCAGATTCGTAATCAGCGATCCAAAAAACCCCTAAGTAATAAGTTTCATGTAAATCCGATAATTTTTTTTAAAAATCGTCTGCCATATTGGATACGCCATTTTGAATTTTTTAAAAACTGATATTGGTTTCTTAATTAGCGACCCCAAAAACCCTTAAGGGTACAATGATCTATAAACTTTGTTGAGTAAAAAAATATACATATATCTGAAAGGGTTAATACAATATTCATTTATGATGTAAATATTCATATATTAAAATTTATAGAGTATTTTTATTTAATCTTAGTAATGAAATAAACTATAGAATTAGATAAATATTCATTTCTCGGAATTTATGAGATTTAAATGTTTTTATCATGTTGAATAGAGGGTTTAGAATCAAAACAAAATCCGAGTCTAATTAGTAACGTGTCAGGACACGTAAATGTATTACTATATATTTCTGTTTTTGAGCTTGGAACGAAATAAAATTTCTATTTATTTTTGTTTCTTTCCACAGCACAAAATATAATTACCACTTATTTTGGATTCCTACCTCGGCACGAAATATAATTACCTCATATTTTTGTTCCGTTCCTCGGCACAAAATAAAATTGCCTCTTATTTTCGTTTCGTGCCGGGACACAAAACAAATTTCTTAAGTAATTCAGTTTCATGCCTCTGGCACGGAACGGAACAAAATTAAAATTGATTTTAGTTCCGTTTCCGGACACATCCCTGTTTAGAAAAAAAAAAAAAAATTCCCCCCCTTTACAGGATTGCCATAATTTTTCTTATTTTTTCGAGTTTTTCAGGACAAAAAACGGTTTTTTTTCCTGATTATTTATGAAAGTAATAAATAAATATTAAACTTCAAATTTGAAATCTCGAGAAGATTAAAAGAGTAAGATTAAAAATTTAAAAAAAAAAATCTAAAAATTAACCTGCGTGTTTTTGTTGTGCTGGAGTGGAAGGCGCTGATTGTGGAGGTGGTGCGGGTACACTGAAACTTTTCAGAGGATGTCCCTGCAATCTTTTGGAACTATTATTACTTTCTGCACCGTCACCAGTGCTATTCGTTGACTGATTACTATTTCCATAACGACCTGAAGCGTATTGACCACTTCCCGTATAGTTTTGATTACTCGAATTGTACGTCAACTGAAATGATAAATTCATTTTTACTACGAGAAAAAAAGAAGAGGCTTTCAATTTGCCGTTAAAATTTATTTCTCTTTTTTTTCATTTTTAAAATTTTATCATTCAAATTTCGCCAAAAACACGAATTTGTTTTAATTTTCAAAAGCAAAATAACTTGTAATTATATAAAAATACTTGAAATTTCTATTATTTAAAAATTTTTAATTCGAATTGATTAATTAAAAAAAAAAAAAATGATAATTAAAAACTTACTTGACTCGGCATTGGCTCGTAATTACTATTTATGTTACAAGAATCCGGGCTCGATTCTGGTGTTGGCTCCAAAGTGATATGGGCTCGATTAAGACTATATTGAGCTGCAGTGCGAGGATAATTTTGCCTGAGAGGTGCTACGTCTCCACAGGAACTGTGAATTGTTGACTGCGAAATGCTATTGTTCACAATTGGCGTCGCTGTGGCTACTGCTGAAAAAAAAACACATTATTTAAATTTTAATGTATAACAAAAAAAAATAAACGAATCTCAAAAAGTGATGGAGAACTTAAAATTTAAAGAAGAGAGTAGAATGGAGTAAAGAAAAAAAAAACTGCTTTTGATGTGTTTTTTTTTTTTTTTTTTTTTTTTTTTTTTTTTTTGCATATACAGAATCGATAATTTAATAATTTTATATGACTTTTTTCAAAAAAAATATTTGAAATTTCGAAGATTTATAATTAAAAATTTTTGAAAATAAATGAACTTCAAGTGATTTTTCATTGAAATTTTTGTTGATAAACAATTTATTCGAAATTACAGGACAAAAATTGAATTTCAAAAGTTTTTAAATAAAAAATTCTTTCAAGTAATTAAAATTTTTGAAGAATATTATAAAAATTAAGTATTATTAAAAAAAAAAAATTGAATTTCGAAAGAATTTTTAAAAAAATTGAAATTATTAAATTTCAAAAAGTTTTAAATGTAAAATGTTAGAAATAATTAAATTTTAAAAGGTTTTAAACTGAAATTTTTGAAAATAATTGAATATTCAAGTTGAATTGTCAAATAAAATAAAAGTCGGAAAAAATTGTAAAATCGGAATCTCAAAAAGAAAAAAAAAATTTGCTGAAAATTCTTAACTGTTCTCAAATCAATAATTTTGCAAATTTAATCGTTACTTTTCTTTGGTAATAGGTAATTTAGAAAATTGTTCAAGAAATTACTTTTTGGAAAAATCTATAAATCTTTTTACCCAATTCTACTCATACAGAAAAATGATGAAAAAAAAAATTCTAATATAAATTATGTGTTCTCACTATGAATAATATTAAAATCTACAGCACCCACAAAAAAATAAATATGATGAATTAAAAAAAAAATAAATCTACTTACGCTGACTGAATGGTGCACTGTCAACTGGAAGGGTAATGAGTTTAGGTTTAGGTTTATGGCTTCCTCGACTCTGCTGACGGCTCAAGGTCGAGCATTTCTCATCGTTGTTGCCTAATATTCAAAGGTGAATGGAAAAGAAACAAGAATACGAAAATCAGGATAATTGTAACAAAAAAGTAAATAAAAGACCAACCTTTATCAAGTAAATAATCATCGCGAAAATTATATTATAACAAGTGTGAAAAAAAATTAGTGTATAAGAATAAATATTACTTAATAATAATAATAATGTGCAAGGAAACCTATGCTCTTTAGTGTCGTGAATATTGCTTTAAATGAACTAGAATGCAATTTTTCTTTTCAATTTTCATTTTCTTACCCATATAACTTGGTATGTAAGTACGTTTGTCCAGTGAACTTGAATTTCCATGCATATTTTCTTGATTATAATCCTGATTATTTGATCTTGGAAGAGTATTGCTTGAAACGCCACTTGTTGATGCTTCTCCATTTACTGAAGATTTCTCAAGGGCTTTCAATTCCATTTGATCGTGATGAATCCATAAATCTGGCGGCTTAATGTTTGTCTTTTGATTTGGGTCATTTAAATATCTGTGAAATTTAAAAAAATGCAGATGCATTAGAGAAAATTAGAATAAAATAATGAAAATTTCCAGTCATATTAAAATATTGTAAAACTAAAATTTTATTATGAAGTAAAAGTAAAGAAAAATAAAAAATAAGAGGAAAAAAATGAAAATTCAATATTCAAATATTGTAAAATAAAAATTTGACAAAAAAAAAAAAATGAAAATTTAATTACCCTTTTTTCCTGTCAGGTGAATCGGGATTTCTTCGACAGCAAACTACAACGACACCAGCAACGCCCATGAGAAGAATGACGGTACATCCAACAATTATGTAAATTAATATTCCTGAAAGTCCTCGTCCATCTAAAGAACAAATAATGTCAATATTAAAAAAAAAAGAAAGAAATTATAATAATTTAGAGGAATTTTCGAAAATCTATTTTTATTTTCTAATTATATTTCTAGAAAAAAAATTTCCTTTTTTTTTTGAAAAACCCACACTGGTAAAACTTTTTAATTTCCTATTTTATAATTTTATTTCAAAAATATCTGAATTTTTTTTTTCTATAAAACAATTTTTTTTTCTCATGTTTTATCAAAATAGAAATTATTTGCGACAGAAAATAAATTATTCTAATATGTAATTTAAATATAAAAAATTATTTTCGCTCTTTTTCTCAATTGACGATATTTATGACTGATTTCTTTTTTAAATTAATGTTTATTTTTAAGTGGTTTTTCGTTCGATTGTCAAAAAAAAGTTTTAAATTTGTAGACCTGAGTTAATTAAATTTATTTATATGATTCAAAGTCAAAACTGCAGAAAATGTATTACTTATAAAATTAATACAATAAAATATAAACCTGAATGGATTAATTTAAAAAAAGATTCGATTACGAAATAAAATAAAAATGTGCATATGTAAAATTAATGAAAATACACAAAAAAAAAAAAAAAAAAAAAAACTACAACATTTACTACAAAATATCTTACCTCGACCATGCAAATCGTCATAGAAATCCTTGCCATTACCTGGCGGAAAGAAAATAAATAATAGGTACAATAATGTTTTCGGAAAAAATGATAAATATCAAAATAAGATGAAAAAAAACAAAGAATAATATATTAAAAATGAGAAAATTCAATTAAACACTAATTAAACTAAATAATTTTGCAATAATTTCGAAATATAACAAAATAAAAAAATAAAAAAACTTTTAACGTTGCACTAAACATAGTTTTTAAATGTTATATTTTATTTAAAAAAAATATATTTATATATCAACGATATAAATTTTTTTTTACTAAAATACCTTTAGAAGTTAAATTTATACTTTTTTTATTTGTACCAAACAATTTTAATTAAAAATTTAGTTAATTTTTTCCTTTTACATAAATATTAGTGGAGTGTTTTCTAATTGATAAATTTAAAACTTATAGTAAATAAAATTTAATATAAAAAAATAACAATTAAACTCTTATACAACAATTTTAATAAATTTTAATTTAAAATCAGTTTTATTTTCATTATATAAACATAGTTTTGAGTTTAATTTAAATAAAAAAAAAAGAAATATGAAAACAAATTATGTTCTATGTAACATTCTACATTTAAAATATATGTTTAGTGATTTTTTTAATAACTGACAATTAATACTAATTAAAAAAATAATAAGAAATAAATATGAATGAATGATAACAAAAATATGACAAAAAATATAAAAAACGAAAGACAAACTAATTATCAATTTACGAAAAAATAACTCTCTCAAAGCAAATTTACAGTGAATACAAAACGCAAATCGTGCCGAATATTATTATTATTTAAAAAAAATTTTTTTTTATATTAATTTTAAAAAATACTTACTTTGAGGTGTTTTAAAATTAACAGTGCTTGAAAATGGTCCATATCCTTTTGAATTACGAGCTTTCATCTTAAAATAATATACCGTACTTGGACTCAGTCCTTTGACTATAAATTCCTCCTTATCTCCAATCACACCCTCCACAAGCCAATCTCCTTCGCCTTTTGTATTGTCGGTCGAATAAAATATTATGTAACCTATGAGAAATTTGCAGAGAAAAAAAAAGACACAATGCATTAAATAAATTTATAGGAAATATTAATATCAAGATTAGAATAAATTTAATAAATTCAATCGTAGATTTTATTTTATTTATTCAAATTAAAAATCATTGAGTAATATTACCTGTGATGGGTCCATTTGATTGTTTTGGTGATTGCCAAGTAATAATAACAGACGTAGGTCTTTCTTTGACAACTTGAACAGTTAGATCGCGAGGAGGTGAACTTGGTGCCGCCTCAAAGGTTTGATTAAAAATTATCATACTCCATGGAGATTCACGTTTTCCCTAATAAAAATTATTAATTAGAGATAAAAGAAGTGTCATTATTCTAAAAAAAAATTTTAATTTAAACAGGATTGCAACAAAATTTTAATTATAATTTTTCCTGAATTCGAGACAATATTTTGTATTTTTTCCCAACATTTTCGAATTTTCTTCTTTTTTATGAAATAGGAATTTTATTTTTAAAAGATCAAATGAAAATTATGATAACATTGTATAAAGAACCATTCAAATTCTTAAAAAAAAAAAATTCAATTACATATTTTAACTTTTAATGAAATTCTTTTTGAAATTTCAATTATTTTCAAAACTTTCAATCAAATTTTACGAAATTTCAATAACTTACAATTCTTTTAATTGTAATTATATTAATTAATTATTTTTCAAAAATATAATTTAAATTATTATTATTGAAAACAAATTTAATTATTTCATAATTTTAAATAAATTTTTCGATATTTTGAATTATTTTTGAAATTTTTAGTTTAAAATCTTTTAGAAATAGAAAAAGTCACAACACTTAAGTGCCACTCTTTCTATATTGAATTTTCTTTGCATAATAATTTAAAATAAAATATAAACCACAAAAAAAAAAAAATTACCTTGTGAAGTTTAACAGTAAACTCATACTGTGTATAGGGTTTCAGATCATGTATCATGCAATTCAAATCCGAGGCGTTGTAATATTTGTACTTGGAACTAATACCGTGTTGGAAGAACGTATATCGAACACTGTAGTATCTATTATCAGTCACGTACTAAAAATTATGAAAAAAAAAAAATTATTAAAAATTAATTAGAAATATATTCTTTTTTTTTTTCTTAAATTTCATTTTTTTAAACATTCTTTTCATTAATTAAATTTATTCCCCTCTTTTAATTTTAATTAATTTTGTATATAAGATAATAAATTTCAATAATTCTCTTCACTGCAAAAAAAAAAAAAAAAACAATAAACAATTATATAAAATAATAATTGTTCATCTGCAGAATGAAAGAATTCGTTTTTTAAAATAATTGACAGTAAGATATAATTTAAAAATAATAATTATGAAAATAAATGTAATTTATTAAAATAGACAAATAAAAGAAATTGATAAAAAATAAAAGTTACAATAATAAATTTTAAATAAAAAGAAACTCTCAGATATTTTTATATCCGTTTAAAGAAAAACTTGTTACTTACTTGATTTTTAGAGAGCGTTGAGTCTGTCCAATATAAAACAACAGTAGAAGATGAAAGAACAATGGCTTTAAGACCCACTGGCGGTAATAGAGGAGTAAATGTTTCAGGCAAAGATACAGCAGTTGTCCTTACTGTTACATAGGCAATTGAACCACCGCCAGCTTCGTTCATTGCTCTCAATGATAGAACATATTCAGACAATGGATCTGTTGTAATCAAAAATTTATTTATTTAACCCCAAAAAAACAAAGTAATTGAAAAAATAAAATATATTTTAAAATTCTACGAATACGATTCTAAATAAATAACAAAAATATACAGAGTGATCAAAATGTACTGAATAGAAAAAAAATTTTGTTTCTCTAAATCGACTTTTTCTATGTTTAAAAACCGCAAACAAAAGTCGATTTAAAAAAAATTCTTTTTGGGTAGTTTAGTAAAATTTAGTTTAATTTACTTGTATAAATTTTCATAATAGAATTTTTTTTTTTTTTTTTTTTGAAAAATAATTGTAGCAAAGAAATTTACTAACCGAGGGATTCGATAGTGTAGTATCGCTGCTTGCCATCAAGATCAACTCTGTCAACATCCGGATATCCTTTGCCCCAAGTGAGAATGTAACCTCTGACTTTAATACTTTGATCTTTTGGTGCATTCCACTTAACGGCTATTGAATTCGACGTTGCTTCAGCTAAAATAATTTATTTTCATTTTATTAAACTAATATCTACTCAATTTGTTTTATTTTTAGAAATTTTTTCCTAAATTTTCTAAAATATCTTGAATTTAAAAATAAATAATTAAATATTTGATTGAATATTTATTCTACATTAATTAATGAAAAATAATAATAATAATAATAATAATAATAATAATTGGTTTCAAAAATTAGAAAAAGTTAAGTAATTAATTTTTTGATTATTAATTAAATTGAAAAACTGCATTATTTATTAACGTAGAAAAAATTGGGCATGATTCCGAAAATTCATGAATTTATATTTAAAAAAAATATATAGGGTCAACCGGGGTAAATCCGAACGCTTTTAGTAAGTTTCAACAATAACATAAGTTTTTTCTTTAGAAAAAAAAATACTTCCGGTATTCTGGTGCATGAAGTTGTTACTTTACTTCCATAGAACAATTTTATGGGGTAGCAAAAATTTTTGATAAATTACAATCGCAGGAAACTTAGCGTTCGTATTTACTTCGATACTTTGCAACTTTCCTAAAATACCGGGGTAAATACGAACGCCACTGTATTTCAGAAAAATCTTAGGGAAAATAAATTTAAAGTATTCCAATTGTTAAACTTATATAAAAACTCAAAAAAAATACGATAATAAACCTATTATGTAATAATGCATCATATATAAATACAAAAATCAAACAGGTTAAAAATTAAAATGCATTACACAATTAAAACCTTCAATAACTTTATCAAATCATAACGGATTTTTGCAAAACTTGGTACAGAAAGTATTTTGGAGTGATTGAATGTAAATACAAAAATAAAAGTCAAATTTTTTAAATTCAAAATTGCGGATTCAATATGGCGGACTTTCCTAAAGCTTATTTTTAAAAATGATCAAATTTGCTAACTCCAAATTCGTAATCAGCGATCCCCTGAACCCCCCGAGTAACAATTTTCGAGCGAATCCAATGAATTTTTTAATTCTCGTCCGCCATTTTGAATGTTGAAAAACTGACTTCAAATTGGTAATTAGCGACCCCAAAAACCGTAGAATACCAAATTTTATTAAGATCCTGAAAAACTTTTTTCAACAAACCATTTGGCAAAAAAATTGAAACACTCCTTCGAGAGAACAGAGATTAAGTTTCTGCTTATTAATTACTAACGAGGATACGTATAGAAAGAAAAACTTTTTTCTATATACTTTTATAATGTTAAAATAATAGTGTAATGAAATAAAAACAATTTTGTGTGGCTCTGATGTAAAAAAAAATTATTGAAAATACCGTTCGGATTTACCCCGGTTTTCCAATTTTCCTGGGTAAATACGAACGGTCTGATATTATTAATAAAATTTTACAGAAGGCAAAAATGAAAAATAGTTTCTGTTCTAGTATTCATAACAAACAATTATAAATAATAAAATAAATTTTTAGCTTCTTTTTCTTGAAATACGAGACAAAATACTGAAAGAGTGTCATCTTTGATTTTCAATCTTTTTTGCAATACTCGTTATCTTTGTTTATGCTGTTACTAATTAACAAACGAAAAATGGGATACTACTTAGAATCTCTTGAAGAGGATCTGAGGTAAAAATTCTCATGTCTAACTTATTTTTTAAAATTTTAATTAAGCTGAAATAATTAGCGTTCGGATTTACCCCCTGTTCGGATTTACCCCGGCTGACCCTATTATCCTGTGATTTAAATATGTAATAATTTTTGTCTTACCTTTAAAATTGCTGGGCTCACTTGGCACTACCGATTCGTCGAGATCATTTTCATATGTTTCAATTGACATCCACTCAGACCAGGGTCCAGTTCCATTAACATTGAGGGCACGAATTTGCACTTGATACAAAACATGTTCATCGAGATCCGAAAGAACGTGAAAACGTTCATTACTTTCAGTTGTTATTGGATGAAATGTATTTCGTCGATCTTGTCTCTTATAACGAATCTTATATCCAATAATAATTCCATTTTGTCCATCGAGTGGTGGTTCCCAACGAATTATAACACTCTAAATATAAACAAATAAATTTTATTACGTTTTCTACAGCAAAACCAAATATTATTATTATTTTTAATTAAACACAAATCTTTGAAAATTATTCATTTCTTTATGTTAAATATGTGTTTAAATTAAATAGTTTTTCGATAATAAAAAAAGGGAAATTGTATAGAAGGGGGAAAAAAAAATACAATACCGTTGAACTTGCTGCTTCAAGAGTGACATTATGCGGAGGTTTTGTTGGTTGTGAACTGTAAGTACGAATTACAATCTCATTACTCGAGGCACCAGGTCCATTTTCATTCACAGCTTGAATCCAAATGGTATATTCTGTATAAGGCACGAGATTAATTAATTCATACGTCGTACCCAATGTCTCGACTTTACTTTCTTCATCGTCTTCCTAAAAATGTTTGAAAAAAATTCAAAATTTATATTCTATTTGATTATACAATATTTGCAATTTAATTTATTATAATATAAAATTAAATTTTCAATTGAATTTTCTAAATAAAAAAAAATTTTTTTCTAAAAAAAAAATAAAAAAAAGGAAAAAAAATTGTTTTCAACGAGATAGTTTTACACTCATTTATAGACATAATATTTTAGAAATAAAATTATCACATATAATTTATTTTTATTCATTATTGAAAAAAAAAAAATGTATTTATATAATTTTTAATGTAAAATTTCTTACCTCCGAATAGGTGACAATGTATTTGGAAATTTTTCCATTCAACAATTGTGGTTCTTCCCAAGACAAAGCTATACTCGAACTACTTGTTGGATGACCATCTAAATTCATCGGAGAACCAGGTACATTCACCTAATTGTGTAAATTAGAAAAAAAACAGTCAGATTTTTTTTAAATTCAGGATGAGTGTAAAATTTTATTTTCGATATTTCAATAAATAATTTTTCATTTTTCATAGGCGAATTTATAGATATTTTTTTTTTTAAATTTTCGCTACGGAAAAATTTATAAAAATTCAAAGATTTTATAGGGTTAATAAAAAAAAAAAATGAAATTTAATTTTTAAAAATTGATTAAACTATTGTAAATAGTAATTTTTTAAAAAGTAAAAAAAAGAAGAAAGTTTACAAACCTCAGAATGTGTAGTGACTCGTAAAATTTCACTTGAAGAACCAGGACCACGAGAATTGTGCGCAATAATACGGAAATGGTATGTTGTACTCGGCTGTAAAGTGGGAATGACAGCTTCCGTCTGTTTATGAGACGTACTAATCACTCGCTCTCTGTTTCAATTAACACAAATCAATTAAAATACATTTTCTTTTGAATTTATATTTATTTTTAGAAAAACAAAAAAAAGAAAAAACTGTAACTTTCTATTTCATTCGATCTTTGTAATAATAATAAAAATATTACGGACGAATAATAAAAATCATTTCTCATTATTTTGAAATATATAAGAAAATTTTAATCGAATTTTCTTTTTATCAAATTAACATTTAACTTATTAGTTATATTTAACTAAATTTCTACTTCATCAAACTTTAAATAATAGAAATTTTTATCACTAAATTTATTATTCATTAATTAATAATTTAAAAAGCAGTAGTCATTTTAGTCGATTTAATTTCTATGAAAAATAGAAAAATCGATTTTTAATTTGTAATAAATTTAATTAATAAATAAATATTTTATTGTTATTAACTATTGTAATTAGAGGAAAATGGAAAATAAAAGGGGAAAATTTTAATAAAATAGAAAAAAAATTGAATCTTAAGATTTAAACTCACAACAATTTTTCACAACTTAAAACTAAATTTTCAAAAATTTATTTATTTTTCTCTTGTTCTAATGGATGCTAATTTTACATTTTTAGGGCAAAAGTCAAGAGACTTGAAAAAAAAAAAAATTAAAATAGAAATTATGAGAAATGATTTTTTAAAAATGTTTAAATAGAAATAATAGAATTTAAAAATAAATCAATTAGTCATATTTCATATTACAAAATTCGAAATAAATAGCATTTTATATTTTTTAAAACAATGTCGTATTTTGTTAGAATAAGTCGAAAAAAAAATTCAAAAATTTAATTTATTTTTTCCACTATTCAGGCCCTAGGATCAACTTTAAGGCGACAAAAAAAGTCGTTTTAGATTTACATTTAAAAAAAAAGTCGAAAAAATCGATTTTTTTATTTCAATTAAATTTAATATGGGCAAATTTCTAAAAAAAAAAATTCTTAAAGTTCCATTATTTAAATTTTATAAAGTCTGATTTAAACAATTTATTCGATTTTTAAATTTTGGTATAGTTTTCAGTTTTAATAGCAAAAAAAAATTATATATTTCTGACAATAATTAAATTTTACAGTATTAAAAATAATTTATCAAATAATTTGAGATAACTTTTTTTTTAAAAAAAAATAATCGACTTTTCGAATATTATTTACAATTCAGATTTTTGAAAATGATTCAACTTCAAATGATTTTTGATTGAAATTTTCAATGATTTTTGTTGCTGAATAATTTCTTAGAAATTACAGAAAAAAATATTGAACTTTAAAAATTTTTAATGAAAAAAATGCATTCAGATAATTGAATTTTTGAAGAATATTAAAAAAAGTTGTTAAAAATAATTGAATTTCTAAAGTGTTATAGTTTAAATGATTGAATTTCATAAAATTTTGAATTAAAAAATAATTTAAGATAATTTAATATCTTATGAATTTCAGTAAAATTATTGAAGAAAATAATTAATTCAGAGAAGAATTTCAGTTTAAAAAAATTGCTTAAATAATTAAAATAAAAAATTTTCTAAAAAATGTAAACAACAAAAGTCGTAAATTCACATCTTATTAAAATAAATCATAAAAAAGTCGTATTTTCGAAAAAAAATCGTATAATCCGAGGCCGATTTCCAAAAACAAATTTTGTATTTTTCTTTGACCCTGACAAAATATTTTTTTGTTTAAATTAAATCATAGAAAATTTTTATTAAATTTCTCTATTTTTTCCAAAAGTCGAAATTTTTAAAAAAAATTAAGTTCTTCGATATTTTTCCAGTGTTTTTAATAAAAATCCCTAACTTTTCCTAACTAATTTATTTCTCCCTGAGTTTTTCCCGATTTCCCTTATTTTCCTGACCTGTAACAACCCTAAATAGCAATAATAATAATAATAAAAAGAAATAGTTTCTAAAAATACCTTTGCGAGCCCTCTTGTTTATAATAAATATGATAGTTGGTGATATTTCCATTGGTGTCTTCCGGTTCCTGCCATCGAAGTGTGATAAATCGTGACTCAACAATAACAAGACTTAAATTTCTTGGTGCTGACGGAACACTTCCTTCAATTGACTCGAAACTCTCAGTGTCGTCTATAAAACGTGAGTCTGGATCGTAAGATGGATTTGGACCTCTAATTGAATCCAAAAGATCTGAAGGATCATCGGATGGACTAATTGAAAGGGGAGGATTTTGGGTATAAGCGGATAGTGTATGTCCCAAAAGTGTACTTGGATGTTGCCATGTATTATTATACAATTGTCGATGAAACTGCAATTTCTTCTTCGGCATTGACTTTGGAGTCGTTGCCTTACGTGTATTCACTTTTTCTAAAGGTTTTTTTTTTTTAATGTTAGCATGCAGAACAGTTAAAGGACAAAAGGAACAAAGGGACAGAGAAAAAAAAAGAACAAAACAAAAGAAATCTAATTAAAAACACAACAAAAAACGACATCAAATAACTTAAAGTAATTAAAATAAAACTAAACATTAAACTAATTAAATAAATGAATACAAAAAATGAAACTAAATTCTAATTGTAATTAGTAATTTAAATTATAAAAATATATTTTTTTTCTTCAAATAAATTAAATACGAGTAAAATAAGTGAAAGTAAAATAATTAATAATTAAGTAATATGTAATAATAAATTAATTATTGAATGATAGAAAAAATTATTGTCTGAAGGAATTGTGTTTGAAATCTAGTAATTTGTGAATATAAAGAAAAACTCACTCGGTAGATTGATTATGAGTCGCGCTGATGCTTGAATACTGCCAGCAGGATTAATACCGATACATTGAAAAATTCCTGCATCAATTGCCAAAAGACCATTTATCCTTAGATTGTGTCTTTGGCGAATGGAGAGAGAAAAAAGAAAAATTAATATCTTTATTATACTAAATCTCAAGCTAAAAGAAGAAAAAGACAAATAATGATACATACCCATTGGCAAGTTGCCAATACTCGCTAAAATTAATGCGTTCTCCATTCTTCAACCAAGTTACTTTCGGCTCTGGTTTACCATGAATTTCACATTCAAATTCCAAATCCTGATTTTCGTTCGCCGTTTTATCCTGCGGTCGTTTTAGAAATTTCGGCGGAACTAAAAAAAAAAAAATAGTTAATGATGTATTTTCATTTTCTAATTCAATTATTCTTACCTTGCACATAAACTTCGGCAATAGCGTCTAAGGTTTCGACTTTATTTTTTGCTCGACACTGATAAGAGCCATGATCTTCTTCTTTAACGTCCATTATTTTTAAACTGGAAGACGCCAATTGTAGATATCTTGAATCGAGTGACATTAAATCAATGGCCACGCCGTCTTTCAGCCAGGAAACTGACGGTTTTGGATTTCCATTAAGAGCACATTCTAAAGTGACACTCGATCCTTCAATGGCCACTTGTTCAGTGGGTTTTGCAATAAACACTGGAGCCGTTGCTTGATCTAGAAAGCAAACAAATAAATAAATAAAGCATTACAGTTTTTTTTTTATTTTAAAAAAAGGATGTGAATTTCTATTCAATGATTAACCGTTATCATATGGTAGCATCGTGAGTTGTCCTTTATTACTGAGTCTGTATTGTCCAAAGCCGCTTGCGTTACACATATAAGATCCAGCATCTTGAGGTCTTACGTCGTCAATTTCCAAAGCCCCTGCAAAAAAAAAAAAAAAAAAATAGGTATTCAATTTTATTCATTATCTGATTTAGATTGAAATAGAATTATATATATGATATTTTTCCGTACTTCATCAAAGTAAAGTTTATATATATAGTTATTAATAGTTAATAGTTTAATACTAATAGTTATTAAATGGACAAAATTCATGAAAATACAGTAAAGTTTATTATTATAATAAAATTTATTAAAAATATTTAATATTTTTCAAAAATTATTTACTTCTAATATTCTTTCGTTTTTCACAATAAATTAATTTAAATTATAATTTTTTTTTTTGCCAAAATTTATGTATTTATTTTTTGACAAAATATTTTTTTAATTTACAGGCCTCGGATCGATTTTATGGCACAAAAAAATGTTGTTTTAGTCGATTTATATTACAAAAAAAATCGCTTTAGTCGATTTTTTTTATTTCAACAAAATTTAATTGGTTAATAAATATTTTACTAAGAAAATAACTAATGTTATTAGATATTAAATTCATTTTATTAATTCTATAATGAGAATAATTTAATAATGAATATTATCAAAAAAATTTATTTCAAATATTTCTGAATCGAATAAATTGTAAGACAAATTTTCAAAATTTTATTTAATTAGGACAAATTTCTAAAAATAATTCTTAAAATTAAATTTTTATTATTTTTTTTCAAGTCTGATTTAAGCAATTTATTCGAATTAAAAATTTTGTCATAGTTTTTAGTTTTTATGGTCAAAAAAATTTCAGACAATACTTAATCAAGTATTAAAGATTTTTTTAAAAAAACTTTTTTTTTTAATAATAATAATTTTGGAAGAGTTAAAATTGAAATTTTTAGAAATAATTGAATTTCAAAAGATTTTGTTAATTTTTAAACAATAATTAAATTTTACAGAACTAAAAATAATTTATCAAATAATTTTAGATAACATTTTTTTTTAAAAGTAATTGAATTTTCAAATATTTACAATTTTGATTTTTGTAATTAATTGAACTTCAAGTGATTTTTAATTAAATTTTTTTTTATGGTTTCACTAAAAAATTTATTTTAAAAATTGCAGATAAAAATACAATAATTTGACAACTTTTTAAGCGAAAAATATGGTTTCAGATAGTTGAATTTTTTAAGAATATTATAAAAATCATTAAAAATAATTAAATTTCAGGAGAGTTGTAATTAAAATTATTAAATTTCAAAAAATTTTAGAAATAATTAAATTTTACAAGCTTTTGAATTGAAATTTTTTAAAATAATAATTGGATTTCAAAAGAATCTGTTAAATTTCAGAAAATAATTAAAATAAGAGAAATTTTCAGTGATTTTTGTTGCTGAAGAATTTATTAGAAATCACATAAAAAAATTGAATTTCAAAAGTTTTTAATTGAAAAATGCTTTTAGACAATTGAATTTTCGAAGAATATTATAAAAATTAGTAAAAATAATTGAAATTTTTGCGAATAATTAAATTTCAAGAGATTTTGAATTTTTTTGGTAATTTTATTTGCTAATTTTTTTTTTAAATTATAAACAATTATTAAATTTCATAAAAAATTTTAATTGAAAAATAGTTTAAGATAATTGAATTTGTGGAGAATTTTATTAAAATTATTAAAAATAATTAATTTAGTGAAGAATTTTAGTTAAAAATTTGTTAAAGAATTGAAATAAAGAAGATCTGCATTGTATACTAAAAAAACGTATTTTATTTAAAATTTTTTTAAAAAATGTAAAAAAAAGTCGAAAAAGTCGTATAATCCGAGGTCTGAATTTAAATTAATTATTTAATTATAACTTAATTTTTTTTTAATATGTGCAGTTTATGAAAAATACTATTAGTATTTATATTTAAAAAAATATAAAAATAATTAAATTCCTAAAAATACAAAAATTTACTTTTTTTAAATTTTCATCCCATTGAGAAAGTTTTCCTTTATATTCGCTTCGTAATTAATAAATTGAAAAGATTTAAATTTAAAACAAACAACAATCGGACTTTTGGGTTTTTTTTTTTGATTTTTCATTGAAATTACAAAAAAAAATATTTTTTTTTTAATATTCGCCCTTTCGATTTTTTGTATATCCAAATGCAAATTCTATTTTTCTTCTTCTCCTTTTTTTTTAAATATTCGCCATATTTAAAATATCAAATTATATATACCTGAGGGAAGAATTGTCATTCGAGTGTCATCGAGCATTAATGTATGCTCATCCTTAAGCCATTTTATTTCTATTTGCTTAGAAAACATCGAGAGTGAACAGCTGAAATAAACGACTTGTCCCTCATTGACAATGGAGCTTTGGGGTTCCCTGTCAAATCCTGGCAGACCTGAAAATAGAGAGAGAAAATTTTCTTATAGTTCTCTTCTACACCATCTTTCATTCAAAAATATTATTTTGCTACTGTTTATTTTTTCTTTTCTTTTTTTTTTGTCCTTTCTTATACATAGTATATATAGTATACTGACTGGCAAGTCTAATTGAAGAAGACCGAGAGACGATTGATCCAACATTATCGACGGATGCAAGACACTGGTAACCCCCTGTTAATTCTGGATTACCAGAATAGACACTGCTAATGTACAGCGAGCCATTAGCCAACTGTGATCTAGAAATTAAAAAAGAAAAATACCGATGAGGATCAAATTTCACTGTACATTAGGAGTAAAACCTTTTTTTTTTTGTTTTGTTTTTCAAGAATTGTATATAATTTAAATATCCTGTTAACCGAATTTTTAGTTGATTTGTTTTTTCAATTTCAAAATCGTTAAAATCAAAAAGACTAAAAAACAATGGAAATTCGAACCAATGGAAATTTGAAAAAATAAAAATTCATATACAAATGGAAATTTTCGAGAAATGAAAATTCTGGTAAAATTAAAATTCGATGATAAAATGGAAATTAAAACAAATATTTACTTAAATTTAGTCAAATTATAATTTTGACAAACGGAAAACTTAATTTAATGGAAATTCCGTTAAAATGGAAATTTTGTTTAAATGGAAAATTCAGACATTATAAAAATTCGGTAAAAATGGAAATTTGATTTTAAAAACAAATTCAATTTAAATATATGGAAATTTTGTTTATACGTGGATTTATATAATGTTAATTGAAATTTTGCACCAAATATAAAATTTTGGGAATCGTTCAAATTTTTTTTTTTTCTATTTAAATAAAAATGTATGTATACCTATAATTATCTCCGATAAATGTAATCGGTTGTCCATCATCCGTTCGCCATTCGATTTTTGCTTCACCGAAAATACTTTTTGCCTTGCAGTCTAATCTCGCCGGCCCTCCTTGCTCCACAACAATATCCTCAGGCTCAACGGTGAATTGTATTCCTCCAGCGCTGATCACTGAAATTGAATATTATTTATTATATTAATTATTACATTATTATTATTTTATTATTTTTATTATTATTATTTATATATATTAGTTAATAATAATTAATTGCTGAAGTGGAAATTCGAAGAGAAAATTATTTTCCATCATTTTACCAGCAAAAAAATTATGTAAATAAATTTTTTTTTCTCACTCAAAGGTACATAATTTTACGATGTAAAAGAAAAAACCGTTGGATACAGAAAATTTTAATTAAAATAAATTAATTAAGGGGGCTTTTATGTCTAACCTTTTCAAAAATATTTATTTACCGAATATAACAATTTTTTTTAAGAAAAAGAATTTTTTTTCAAAAATTATTTATAATAAAAGCTGATATTATTTTAAATTAAATTTTTTAAAAATTATTTGATTTTTTTTTAATTAAAAATTAAAATTTTATTCAACTGCAAAAAAAAAATTGTGTCTGTTATTAAAATTATTTTATTCATTTATTTGGAGAAAAAAAATTAATTCTCTCTCATAATATGATAAATTGTAAATCATCAATATCTTGTATTGGTTTTATTATTATATTAATTTTTTTATACTTATTATTATTATTATTATTATTATTATTATTATTATTATTTGTAATAAATTTCGTTCTCCGTGCATAAGAAATAAAAATTTTTTTTTCGATGCGAAAAATAATAATTTATAAAAACTACACTGACGGCAAAAATTTATTTGATTCAAATTTGATTATTATCGCAAATAAATATTTGTATACTATAATTTTTATTTGAATTAAATAAATTTTATTTTCTGTATATTTGAAACACAAATACCTTGACTCAAGTAATAATTATATTTAATGATAATTCAATTAATCCAAATTATTTGAATTAAATAATTTTTTTTCAATAAATAAATAAATAAGAATAAATGAAAAAATATAAAAAATTTGTTTCAAGATTTTTGCGAAAAATTTTGTGGTAATTTTTTTTTTGAATCAAATAATTTCTTTTTCAGTATATAAATAAAAATAAATAAAATATTTTCAATTTTGTGGTATAATTTTTTGATAATCAAAAAGAAAAGTAATAATTTCGTTAATTTATTGAATTTTGTTAATTTGAGGCAGATATATTTTTTTTTTTTTTGGGCGTGAATTTTTGAAATTGAAGTTGAACATAAATATAATTTTCGTTTATATTTTACAATAACGCCAGTTAATGTAATTCGCCTAATCTCATATAAAGTTCAATGATGTGTATCCACACACGCGGCTACACATGTCGTCCCCGAGGTCAGCGGGGGGTTAATGATCAAGCGACACCCGTATAGGCCCGCAGGGTATTGCCAAAGGACGAAGGAAAGAACACTGGTGCATTGCATGTCGCATAAAAGGGATATACAACATATATAGTGTATAATAGGGGAGATAGCAAACAAAGGAACGTATGTGCAACCTTACCATAGGTCCCTTCACACTCACTCTCTCTCTCTCTCTCCCTTATATATTATATTCATTCTCGTGTGTTTTTATAGCTGTGGCCGTTCAAATGCCTAAATTTTCTCTTCTCTCTTTCTTCCATTTCTACTCGCAAATTCCTTCTCCCTCTCTCTTCTTCGTCAACTTTTTCTCTTTTATTTTTCTGTCTCGTATCCTCCCACGTATCAAGGAGGGGCTTTTTCTCTCTTTCTCTCTAAGTCTGACAGAAGTTGAATTCACCCAACGAAAGCCAGTAGGATGTGCATTATAATCATGAAAGCAAATATGTCCTGATGCAAAAGTCGATTTTCCGAGAAATTTATCCTGACTGGGACAAACACTATATACATTTCGATAAATCCCCGAATTTAATCTCTTGAATTCCATCTGTTATTCGGGATTTCGAGACATTTAATATCAAAAGGATTAGATTATTTCTACACCAATTTTTTTTTTTTTCTTTTTATTATTATTATTATTCGAGCCATAAGATTTTTTTGAGCTAAATAATTATTTATTTGTTTTAAATATAATTGTTTTTTTTTTGCGTAAATAAACTTTTATTTAGCGCAAATAGAATTTTTAAATTTGAATTAAATACAATTTTTTATTAAAAAAAAAAGAAAAGAAATAATAATATATATATATTTACTCCGAGAGAATTTTTTTCACATCGGAAGTTCACGAATTAGAAAAAAAATACGAAGCTGAAGTACGCAACGTTTATGATAAACGATTTTTTAAGAAATAATTTTTTAAAATAAAAATTCTATAATTTTTTGCCTAAAAAATATTTCTTATAGTTTTCATTCATCAACAAATTATAAAAAAATATTTTTTAGGCAAAAAATTATAGAATTTTTATTTTAAAAAATTATTTTTTAAAAAATCGTTTATCATAAACGTTGCGTACTTCAGCTTTGTAAAAAAATTTCTGTATTTTTCGGTTTAAAAAAAAAGGTTTGCAACATTCCTCGATTAATAATTTTTTAAAGAAAATTTATTAGAAATATTTTTTTTTCTCAAATAAATAATTTGCAATTTTAAAGGGAAATACATTTTCTTTTTTGTCGTACGATATACAAAATATTTTTTGGATTTGTTATTTTGTATAGAAAATTGTTTTTTTTAAATTTATTTTGTCCAACATTTTTAGAAAATGATTTTTATGGCATAGAAACATGTGCTCTGCTTTATTTGTTTGTTTGTTTTTTTTTTAATTAAAATTTATGTTAACTTTCATTTTTTGCTCATTTAGAGCTGACAAATTGGCAAAAAAAAAAAAAAACAATAAAATTTTTAATCAGTAACTTAAAAAAATTATCGAAACTTTATTTATACTTTTTAACAATTAGAATATAATGTAGAAATTATTTTTAATTAATTATTTAGATACAGAAATTTATAATAAAATTTGAAGTTAAAAAAGTATTAAACAAATTTTTTTTTTTAATTTTTGAACGTTTCAACTCTCTAAATCTGAATTAGTAAAAAATATAGCCAATTTTAATTATACTAACTGACTTTTTAAATTAGTTAAATTTTACTATAAAGAATTATTGGAATTTTTTTTTTAATTCATTATTTTAAAATTTAACTAATTCAGAGATCAAAAAATTATTAATTCAAGTTAGTTAAAATTTTTACTATAAATTCAAATATAAAGGGGAAATTGCATTTCATCTCCCTCTCTCCCTAATTTAATTATTTTACCGCAAATTTCACAATTAAACAATCGGAAATTGGAATTATGTCAAATTATATAGAATTTGGACAAATTACAAAATGGGTTATAATGAAAATTCAATTCAAATTCACAATTCGATCAAAAATTTATGGAAATTAAAAAAAAAATTTTTTTTAGAAAAGTAAAAAATTTGACAAAACTTCTTTTGAGACAATTTTTTTTACATTTCGAAATTTCATTTAGTTTTATAAAAATTCTACAAATTTCAAATTCAGTCAAATATATATAGAAATTAGGTTTTAAAAAAATTTCGGTCAATAAAAAATTAGATGAAATAAAATTTAAAGTAGAAGGAATAAATTCAGTTGAAGACAATAAATATAATATATACTATCGAATGAAAATTTGGTCTATTGCAAATTCGATTTCAAAAATTAGATTAAATAACAGTAAATCAAACATTTAATTAATCTTTTATATAAATTTTTCTTAATTAAAAAAAAGAATTGGCATTTTAAAAATATTTACACATGTAAAAAAAATTATTTGTTTCAAATACATAAATTATTATTGGTTGAGAAATACAGTTTATTTAATTCAAATAATAATTATTTAATAATAGTCAAGTAATCGAGTATTTGTATTTATTTTAGTGCAATATAATAATAATAATTTTCGCGCTTCTAAATGAGGGAGAACATGTTTAAAAGTTATAAACAAATTTTATTTTTTAAACAAATTGTTTAAAAATTAATATTTTTTTTAAAAAATAATTTTTTTCTAAAAGTTTAAGATCTTTAGCGTAAAAAACATTTACAACATTTTTCTCTATTTTTAATAGGAAAAAAATTATAAGTAAAGCAAAAAAATATTGCTCAAATTTTTTATTGTAAATATCTCGAAAAATATTAAAAATTTCAAATTCAAAATTTGTACACTTATTTAGGCACCACTATCACTACAATTTACCGAATTTTGAGAAAAATCTGAGACATGACCCCGCGTATTCTCATATGAAATGCCTCACATATATCTATAAAAAATGTGTACGTTAAAAATAAAAAGTCGGAAGTAAAAATTTGAATATCCATAAGACTGTCTTGGATGAGCACCTTTTGTCATTAATATTTCCAAGAATAATAATAAAAGGTGAATGTTCCTTTATAAGGAGAATCCATTAAAAAAAGTCCTTTTCTGTACACACAATTCCCTTTTCTCTCTTTCTCTCTCTCTCTCTCTCTCTCTCTCTCTCTCTCTCTCTCTCTCTCTCTCTCTCTCTCTCTCTCTCTCTCTCTCTCTCTCTCTCTCTCTCTCTCTCTCTCTCTCTCTCTCTCTCTCTCTCTCTTCGGTGCTTATGAATTATCCTCCCATAAAGACTGAAAGCGTTATAAAACTGTATATTATAGTATAAAAAGGAAAATTATTAAACGTCGGTTTTTCGATTTTACAAATAATGTATAACAATTTTCTTTATATTTTATTTCTTTTTTTTTTTTTTTTTTTAATTATAAAAATATACATAGTATACATTTTTTATATATTATGTATATTAATTATTGTGTATAATGTGGGAATATATATATATAGTCAATGAGAGGTATAGTTTTATTTACTTTCCAAGAAAAATGTGACAGACCGTTTACAGACTACCAAAGGGCTTCATTCTTGTTTCTGAGAAAGTTCATGACACTCATGAATAAGCCTCCAGGGAAAAAAGTCTCCTTCTCTATATATGAAACTGACACGAGTGTTAATTAAGAATCGCGGAAGTAATAGAAGTTACGAAGCCTTGGAAAGAATGTGCTCAGAATTTTTGCATTTTTATAATGTTTTTCCATTTTTATTTT